AGAGAGAGGAAGAGAGAGAAACAGAGAGACAGGGAGAGAGGGAGAGAGGGAGAGAGGGAGAGGGAGAGGGAGAGGGAGAGGGAGAGAGAGAGAGAGAGAGAGATCGACATCTAAATAGACACATTGACTGGCCAAACCGACCAGGGCTACTTGGAATTTTTTAAAAATCAAATTGAGTTATAATTAACACACAATAAAATGCTTCCGATTTAAATAGAAGGTTTGATGCCTTTTGGCAAATGTATACACCCACGCAATGACCTCCACAGGTGAGAGAACACTTTCATGTGCCCACTGGCCCCTTTGGGTCCGTACTCCCCGGGGCTTCCACACCAGGTGCCACTGGTCGGTTCTCTATCACTGCAGGTTAGGTTTGGGTGCTGTGCATTTGCTTACAAATTGAATCATGCAGCATGCATGGCAGATGGCTTCTTTTGCTTAGCGGTAATGTTTCGAGATTCATCTTTGTTACGTGTATCAATAGTTTGTTCCTGTTTACTGCATACTAGTATCCATTGCACGGATACATTTGTTTATTCCCAATGAACACTGAGGTGGTTTCTGGTTTTTTGGTTGTTATGAATGAAGCTACTCTGAACATTACTTTATAAGTTTTTGTGTGTTCATATGTTTTCATTTTTCATATGTAGGAATGGAATTGCTAAATTTAATGGTAAATGCATATTTACTTTACATTATGCTGCCCAGCTGTTTTTCAAAGATTGCATCATTTTACACTCCCACAAACTATATATGTGTTTGCATCTCTGTTTTTGGCTACTCGGTAATTTAGTTCCCCTCTTTGGGGATTTATACCCCTTCCTGCCACATAGAGGTGATTTGGGGTCTTTTTTCAATGAAGGCCATCAGAAGTCTCAGTGTCACTGGGAGTAAAGGGGAAGTTCTTTCAACTGATAAAGAGTACCCACTAACAATCTACAACAAACATCACTTAGTGGTCAAACTTCAGAAGAATCCCTACCAAAGTCAAGAATAAGATGGGATATACATTTACACAATGGAATACTACTCGATCATAAAAAACAGGGAGATTTTACCCTTTTCGACAGCATGGATAGACCTAGAAAACATTATGCTAAGTGAAATAAGCCAGTCAAAGAAACACAAGTACCATATGATTTCACTCATGTGTGGAATCTAATGAACAAAATTAACTGACAAGCAAAACAGAGACAGACTCACAGAGAGCAGGCTGATAGCTGTTGCGGGGAGAGGGGCTGAAGGGTAGTGGAGGGATGGAGCGAAAGAGAAAAAAAAAGGAGTCATTGACACAGACAACAGTGTGGTGATTGTGGCGGGGGTGGGTGGGTGGAGGTGAAAGAGGAGATAGGGGGATAAATGGTGATGGGAAAAAAATAAACTTAAAAATATAAGATAGGATAGCTATTATCACCTTATTAAGCTATTATCACCTTATATAAAAAGATAGAATCAATGCAACAAGACAGAAAATGAAATGACTGAAAGACAAAACTGTCATAATATTCAGATAATACAAATATCTACTTAGAAAATTTAAGAGGAGTCCTGGCCAATTCGCTCAGTGGTTAGAGCGTCGGCCCACAGACCGAAGGGTCTCAGTTGATTCCTGGTCCAGGGCATGTACCTGGGTTGCAGGTTCGATCCCTGACCCCAGTAGGGGTCATGTGGAGGGCAACAGATCATGTGTCTCTCTCACATTGATGTTTCTCTCTCTCTCATCTCTCCCCCTCCCTCCCTTCCACTCTGTCTGAAAAATCAGTGGAAAAATATCCTGCCCTGGCCGGTTTGGCTCAGCAGTTGTAGCCTTGGCCTGTGGACCAGAGAGTCCCGGGTTCGGTTCCCGCTAGGGGCACTTACCAGAAAACAAAAAAAACAAACAAAAAAATGGAAAAATATCCTCATGTGAGGTTTAAGAAAGAAAGAAAATTTAAGAGGATTTATAATCATATTAAAAATGGACTGGAAAGAGTCCTATATGTAATCAATAAACATTTAAAAAATAGAATAGTAAACAAAATTCAAATCATAAGGCCAACAAAATCCACAAGGTATAATAACAGAGGTAATGTGCATTGGACAGAAGTACACACAACAGCATCATAGATGAAAAGGGAGGTCTCCTGACGGCAGCAGGTCAGCCACGTGGAGAGGTAGCAGCTGGGTGCACCATGGAAAGTGCTTCAAAGCAACGCTGTCCCTGTAACGTTATACATGTTAATACAAAAGTCAGGAGGGGCCAGTGAACACCTGCTCAACTATTTAACAGTGAGTGCTTCTTGGCTGGGTAAATGGCCTTGTTGAGCCCGAGCTTAGCTAGGGCTGCTGGTAACAGCTAGAAGAAGCTTTGCTAACTCAGCAATTTGCTCAAATACCAAACTGGGGAGGGAATGATCTTTCTGGGACACCTGGGTTTGCCTTTCCTTAAAATCTAGCCTTTGTGGCAGCATAACATAATGGTTAGAAGTGCAGACTCTGCAGCCAGACTCCCTGGTTAATCTGAACCCCTATCTGCCTGAGTTTCCTCATCTGTAAAATGGAAATAACATGCTACTTTGTTTAGACGGTCAAAGGGATTACTCGGACATATCTAAAGTGTGTAGAACTGTGTCTGGCAAGTTGTAGTCTCTAAATAAATTTTAGTTCTTATTTTTTATAATAATTATACAATATTGAAATGATTTTTAAAAGTATAAACCCAGAAAAATTAAGAAAGCAGGACATGACCATCGGCACATAGGTCAATATTTTAACCAATTCTTGAAAGGTGGAAACTCAAATGGAATAGTAACCAATAAAATAGGCCAAAGGAAACCACAGCCTGAATACACACATGACCTGTGGGAGACCAGCTTACCCTGCGTGGAACCCTGGAGCACCTGGGGATTCTGCATGCCAGGTAAGAAGCAGGCAGGGATGAGGGGAAGGCTGAAAATCGAGGGCCTAATTTAAAATTTGTGCACGGGACAGCTGGCTCCCTCTACCCCACCATCAGACTATTTCATAGACGGGGTTAAACCTGAGGAAAAAGTTAGATGATTCTCTTTTTTTTAAATGAATAAACAGTTTCAGCTGACTTAGAGGAGCTAGTGTGGGCAAACAAAGAATCCTTCAGCAACTGGTCATTCTACCCTCCAGCAACATCCCGAGTGTGCTTTCGGCTGCTGGCTCTGTCTTACAGGTCACAGGAAACAATGTCCCCCTGTGTTCCTCTGCCATCAGGACTTCTCCTGGTAAATCCTGGCTCCCCATCTGACCTCCATAAAGTAAAGAAAGGGCTTATGTTCAAGTCACAGTTATGTGGCTTTTAATTAGATTTTTAACCATAATTCTGACTAATCGGCTACTTCTTAAACATGAATGGAAAACCCAGAATCAGTATACACTTGAGGATGGCTGGTAATGTGAAAAATAAACACCCAGGTAAATGGCATTAGCCTTGGAGAAAACAGAAAATTTAGGACATAAATTTAGAACTAAACCTTAGTATTGATGAAGTTAATTTGCTTATCAGGACCCACAAAATGGAGGCCACCCTGGTGGTCTGGCCCAAGTCACAAATCTAAACCTGTCGGCCTGCACTTACGGGACACATCTGTCATGGAAACCTAACATACACCAATCACAATCCTCCAATTCAGCTTTAGCTAGTCTACCTTCCCCTAGGAAATAGGACTGTTGTCCTCTAAGGACATCCCCGCCCGCCTAGCCAGTCCTGCCCTGTTCCCGTTGCCTCTTCTGGGTGAAACTCGCTCTTGCCTGAACCCCTGGGAATAGCGCTCCCCTGCTGTGTGGCACTGCACTCCGTCCACGGACTGTTCTCCCTGAATCAGGGCAGCGAACTCATTATTAAATTCTTTTCATCTCGTCATTCAACAGTAGCATAGGAAAGATTCAGAAAGATTGTGTTGGTTAAAAAAATAATAAGATGTTGCCCTGGCCGGTTTGGCTCAGCGGTTAGAGCGGTTAGACAGGAGAGTCCTGGGTTCAGTTCCTTCTAAAGGCATGTACCTTGGTTGTAGTTTGTCCCCAGCCCCGGTTGGGGTCATGTGGGTGGCAACCACTCAATGTGTCTCTCTCACATAGATATTTCTCTCGCTTTCCCTCCTGCTCTATCTGAAAATAATTGCTGAAATGTCCTAAGGTGAGGATAATAATAATAATAAGAAGAAGATGTCATGAAAACAAAGGTCAGAGAACAAAAAAGAGCTATGGGAAATGTAAACTATAATGGCTGAAATTAAGAATAACTATTGGAGAGTTGGAAGATAATGGAGAGGAAGTGTCCCAGAAAGCAGAGCAAAAGCACTAAGAATATATGAGGGAAAAAAGAGAATTGAGGTGATTAACTAAATCCCTACCTAAATGGTGGGAATTCCAGAAAGAGTGAAAAGAGAATAGCAGACGGTAGGAAATTATCAAAGAAAATTATAGAAGACAGTGGCCTGCCCGGCCAGTGTGGCTCAGTGGTTGAGCATCGACCCATGTTCCAAGAGGTCGCCAGTTTGATTCCAGGTCAGGGCACATGCCCAGGTTGTGGGCCCGATCCCCAGTGGGGGGCATGCAGGAGGCGGCCAATCGATGTTCTTTCTCATCGATGTTTCTATCTCTCTTCCTCTCCTTTCCTCTCTCTCTAAAAAATCAGTAAAGGAAAAAAAAAAAGACAATGACCTAGGGCTGAAGGGATACCCACGTGTTCAGACTGAAAAGGCCAACTGAGTGCCCAGTACAATGAATGTAGAAAGACCCAAACCTATACACAACATTTTGAAAGTTTATAGCCCCAAGGATAAAAGAGAAAAGCCTAAAAGATACCAGAAAGATAGAAACTATCACCATCAAAGAAATAAGACTCGTACTAGCACTGTAAGCATTAACCAGTTGTAACTGCTTAGAATAAAACACTTCCTCCTGTGGTGGGACGTGGTAGGTTTTGTCATTTCTTCTGGGTCCTGACTAAGCCCTTTTGACTTAATACCTCAGAGCGTTTACTGGTAACTTCTCAGTGAACTGCAATTTGTTTTCAGTTTTAGTTCCTTAAATATCTTCTCCTGGCTCCGTTGAAGGACAGAACATCTGTACTCAGGCCACCCTACTCCTTCCATTTGCCCGGGGCTCTGGGTAAACCTCTAGGTAAGTAAATTACCGTCTCTGGCAAAGGTGCTTTTCTTCCACACTTGAAGTTATGACCCTCTAATTTCTCTTATTTCTCTTATTTTTGTTTCTCTGGAGGCAAGAGGACAGGTACTATCATCACCCGGTCCTGGGTTTAAATCCTAGATCCACGACGTACTCAGTTGGCACTCTTAGCTCTTGTCGTCAGAGGACATGAAATCTGGAGAGTGTCCTGGAGCTATCTCCTCCCCCGAAGTGGCCTCCAGATGAGCACAATTGACCACTGAACCAGCGAAACTGATCCCAGCTGGTCTGCTGAAACCCTGTGCTTATTTATGTCCAGGCAGGCCTGGAGCCAGGGTGCTGTCCCTGGGCCAAATCTGAATGGAATTTACTAAGCAGTGATTAATGTAGCCCTGTGCTGGGGTCTGAGACAGACCAGGGGGCAGCTGGTATCAGCTTTTTTGGTTTTGAGACTGGTCATGCAGCCTGGTTTGGCCCACATGACCAGAGGGGTATAAAAGACCCCTTGTCAGAAGAGACTGTGGTTTCCCAAGACCCAAGTATCTTGCTATACCTAGGTTGTTCATTACCTAAAATGTGGCACAGCCTGTGTGGCTGAGAAAGGCCCCCAGGAACTGGGCCTGGACTCTGAGACCTCTCTGATGACTGCCTGTTTTTTATTTTTAGTTTTGTATCTTATCCTTTACCTGTCTTCTAGTCCTATGTAAGCATACTACGTAGAGGCCTGTGAGTTTTTTCAATTACCCAGGCCTGTGTAATTGTTGAAGATAGCACTGGGAATGAGATCATTGGAACAGTTTGGGGCTTTACAATTTACATAATGGCTAAGGCTTTGTTTGGCAGAAAGAAAGATGAAAAGTGGGAGAAAGACGAAGAACCACTGGTGGCAGCTGGCTGCTGAGGAAGGAATCCCTGGTTTGAATTCATTCAACTATGGACCTATTGACGGGAGGGAAAGGACAGCAATGGAGGTTAACGCAGGTCGTTCTAGAGCCAGAGGCAATAGCGAAGTGAATTAAAACAGAAATTCAGATAGAGGGGAAGTCAGCCAAGAGCACTGTACCTCAGCTGGTTTTCGTTGCTTTGGCAAAAATGAAAGTAACTAAGAGCCTTAGGCTGCCAAGACCACCAAGCCTGGGCCGGTTCCTTCCGCGAAGGGAAGGGCCATGAGGCCAAAGAAGAGGTGGGCAGGTATTTCTTCTGGTCAGAACGAGACCCTCACCCGATAGATAACCACTCAAGAGGCTCTACACTGTAGAGTCTGCAGGGAGAAGGTGCAAGAGAACCAAACAAAGGAGCTAATCAATCCGAAGCGTAGGACCCCTGCTGCGGACTGATGCAGGCGCCGCCGGAGGGCCCCGCTGAAACGGACCTGCGCACCCTGACCAAGGGCGCTTTCCTTGCCTTAGGGCTGCGAGACGAAGGGCGCGGCTTGGTCTTAATCAAGACCTTCTGTTCCCTGCCACTTGTGCGGAAATGTGGGCAGATGGGCCAGCTGCAGACCAGCTGAGCTGGGTAAAGGCGGGAGCACATAAAACACCCCTGTCAGGTGGAACCCTCTCATCCACCTGTGGGGCGCATGGAGCGCTCCTGAGGCTCCCGAAGCCTTGAGGAAGCAAGGAGTGCTCTGAGGACTTGCTATCTGACTACACTGAGGGAAGTGACGAGTGATGCGTGGCGAGAGGGTCTCCAGCCGCTTGGACTGCAGGGAGACCTGACTGTTGGGAGGGCTGAAGCGAGAGGCGGTCCCAGGCCTCCTGGCACACCTGCTCCAGTGCAGGCTGAATAACGCACAGATGTCGGTACTATGCAGAAGAAATGAGACAGGAAGAACAAAAGGGTTGAAGAAAGAGATCTCAGGACTAAGTCTAACAAGTGGAAATGTCCGTTAACCTGCTTTCCTTTCCCTTCTCAGATAATGGCCACTCGGGAGGAGGCCGCTGAGGAGCCGATTTTCGAGTATGACTACGATTCCGTCCCGGAGATGTCTGCCCTGCTGCACGTGGACATGATGCAGATGCTCAAGAAGTTGGAAGAAGAGGCGCAGAAAGAACGAGAAAAAATGCAGAAAGGCTTTAACTCAGAAATGCGCAGCGAAGCCAAAAGGTTAAAGACTTTTGTGACCTATGACTCCTACAGCTCGTGGGCACCGACGGAGATGGCAGCAGCTGGCTTCTATTTCACTGGCATGACATCCGGGGTGCAGTGCTTCTGCTGTAGCTTAATCCTGTTTTCCACCAGCCTCCGGAGACGCCCCATAGAACACCACAAGAAGTTTCGTCCGCACTGTGACTTCCTTTTGGGCAAAGATGTTGGCAACATTGCCAAGTATGACATCAGAGTTAAGAACCCTGAGAAGCTGAGAGGAGACAAAGCAAAGTACCAAGAAGAGGAGGCCAGACTGGAATCCTTCAAAGACTGGCCATTTTATGCCCAAGGGACATCCCCAAGGGAGCTCTCAGTGGCTGGCTTTGTCTTCACAGGTAGTTTGAAATCATTTTCTGAAGTATTTCTCTGGAGTTTTGAGTTTAGGTTCCACATTTCAGGTGCAATATTTTGTGAGTCTTTCTTCACTGGTTAAATATATTGTATTAGGTACAAGGTTTGTTTTATTAAAACTCAACTTCAGTAATTTTACTTTAGCTTTATGTTTCGTACAGTATGTTAATTTGTCAAATATATATAAAATTAGACAGTTACTTCTTAAATTTGGACCTTAGACAATACTGACAACATTCTTAAGGTCCTTAAAATAAATCATGAGGTCAGTTGGACCTCAGTCTCCTTCCACATTTTCCTTTTATTGCTCCTATAAGATCTTCCTTTGATTCTCTTAATTGCTGCGATATTGGAGGGGCTTTTTGTTCATTGGTTGGTTGGTTTTAATCTTAGGGCTAACTCCAATGTATCGGGCAAACTGCATTTAAGAAAACTGCCCTTTGACTTGTCCCATGCCATAAATGTTATGATGGACGTGAATGAGAATTGTAATAACAATAATAATTGTAATAACAATAACTGCTGTCTTTTACTGAGTACCTACTTGGAGCTAGGCTCGGATTAGGCACTAGTCTAGTCCAGTAAACTTGCCCCCTCCCCTCATCTCACAGTTGAGTTCATCGAGGCTCAAAATGTTTTAAAAAATGCCTAAGTGTCCACAGAAGTTCCTGAGTTCTGGGGTTTCTCTGCTTCTCCACTGCTTCAGCTCTGAGAGCTCAAATAGCAAAACACCAGCTCTGGGAACACGTGGCAGGCATATTGAGTAAAAAGGTTAGAGTTCTATATGTGAAGTATGGCTGTGGCGGAGGGGTGAGGTCCTAGGCTTAGAAAATGGTCTTTTAGAGCATCAAGGCGGTGGATGGAGATTCAGCAGATGACAGTGTGAGTGGACAGACGTGTTGGCACATGTCTTATTCACACGCAGAGAAGTCGACTCCCAGACACACACCTTCTGGACTACCCCACGGTGCCTTTGCTAGGCAGTCTAAATGTTTTCCTTCATATGTAGGGAAACGGGACGCTGTGCAGTGTTTCTCCTGTGGTGGATGTTTAGGAAATTGGGAAGAAGGAGATGATCCTTGGAAGGAACATGCAAAGTGGTTCCCCAAGTAAGTAGACAACCCTCCCCACATCCTCTTTTTTATTTTTTATTTTTTGGTGTTTTTTTTTTTTTATCCTCTCCTGAGAACATTTTTCCATTTTTTGTTCAGATAAAGTGGGAGGGAGAGAGAGGAAGAGAGAGAGAGAAACATCGACATGAAAGAGACACATTGAGTGGCTGCCACCCGCATGACCAACCAGGGTCGGGGACAAACTGCAACCGAGGTACGTGCCCTTAGCGGGAACTGAACCCGGGTCTCTCTGGACCGCAGGACCGCAGGCTGACGCTCTAACCGCTGAGCCAAACCGGCCAGGGTCCATCCCCTTTTTTAAAGACAAAACAAAACTAAAGGCAAGGGTCACCTTCATGGAGTAGCATCTTCAGTTTTGATTTTTTTTCCCTATTAAAAACTGAAACATTCCAGAATTTATTCCAGCATTTATTTTCAGCAAGAAAGACCTGATTACATCATGGAAATTTTGAATCACATATTATAAAAACAGTTTCTTAAATGTTGTTTTATGATCCTAAATACTTAGGCATGTTTTGCCAAGTAGACGTTTTGGGATCTGCCCTAATTGATAAATAAGAATATTCACATAGGGATGATGTAAAATGGCATATAAAGGAAGTCGAAAAGTAAAACAATGTTTAAAACCTTATTACAAATTGTTTTACGTACTGCTGATTACATACCAAACAAAAAAGGTTTTTTTAAAAAAAACTCAGAGTGCCCTGGCCGGTTTGGCTCAGCGGTTAGAGCGTCCGCCTGCGGTCCATAAAGACCCGGGTTCGGTTCCCGCTAAGGGCACGTGCCTCGGTTGCAGTTTGTCCCTGGCCCTGGTTGGTCGTGCGGGTGGCAGCCACTCGATGTGTCCCTTTCACATCGATGTTTCCCTCTCTTTCTCTTCCTCTCTCTCCCTCCTACTCTGTCTGTACAAAAAAACAAAAAACAAAAAAAAACTCAGAGTGCCCTGGCCAGTTTGGCTCAGCAGTTAGAGCGTCGGCCTGCGGTCCGGAGAGACCCCGGTTCGGTTCCCGCTAAGGGTAAGGGCACGTACTTCGGTTGCAGTTTGTCCCAGGCCCTGGTTGGTCGTGCGGGTGGCAGCCACTCGATGTGTCCCTTCACGTCGATGTTTCTCACTCTCTCTCCCTTCCTCTCTCTCCCTCCCATTCTATCTGTACAAAAAAATGGAAAAATATTCTTGGGTGAGGATAAAAACAAAAAACAAAAAACTCAGAGTTTTTGCCCTGGCCGGTTTGGTTCAGCGGTTAGAGCATCAGCCTGTGGTCCAGAGAGACCTGGGTTTGGTTCCCACTAAAGGCACGTACCTCGGTTGCAGTTTGTCCCCGGCCCTGGTTGGGTCGTGCGGGTGGCAGCCACTAGATGTGTCCCTTTCACGTCGATGTTTCTCTTTCTCTCTCTCTCTTCCTCCCACTCTATCTGAACAAAAAATGGAAAAATGTCCTCTGGTGAGGATAAAAAAAAAAAATACATAAAAACTCAGAGTTTTGATTGTTGCAGTGGTCTTTAGTTCCCTGCTTAGAAAATGAAGTGTATTTTAATTATTTTTAATGCTATATTTACTAGTATTTTCTACATGACTTTGTATCTACCAAATACATATTCATTCCCTTTACAATTTTTAAAACTTTCATTATGGAAAATTTCAAAGGTAGAGAGAATAGTATAATAAATAGTTATTAACATATGGCCAAGTCATATTCCATCCATCTCTCACCCACCTTTCCCCCAGAAATAATAATAACCAGATTATATTAAAGTCAATTTCAGACATCATATGTCATTTGTTGATATTATATTTTAGAGATATATACTAAAATATCTTTTTTTAAAAATATTTTTTCTTTATTGATTTTAGAGAGAGAGAGAAATATCAATGAGAGAGAACATCGATTGGCTGCCTCCTGCATGTCTCCCCACTGAGGATTGGGCCCACAACCTGGGCATGTGCCCTGACCAGGAAAGGAACTGGCGACCTCTTGGTGCATGGGTTGATGCTCAAGCACTGAGCTACTTCAGCCGGGCTATACTAAAATATCTTAAAGAAATAAAACCACAATATTATTATTTCTCCTAAAAAGGATTAACATTAATTCCTCAATACATATCATCAAATATCTGAGTCAGTGTTCAATGTCCACGTCCCTCCACCTCCCTCTCTCTCTTTACAGTTGGTTAATTTTTTTTAAATTTTATTTTTGTTACAGATGTTTCTCCTTTTTCACCCCATTGACACCCTTCGCCCCATCCCCCCCGCCCTGTCCCCAGCTTTGTTGTCCATGTCCATTGGTTATGCATACATGCATATAAGTTCTGTGGTTTATCTCTTCCCACTCCCCACCACCCTCTCTTCTGAGGGTTGTCAGGCTGCACCCTACTTCCGTGTTTCTGGGTCTACCCTATTCCTCAGACTGTTATATTCGTTATATTCCATATATAAGTGAGATCATGTGATATTTGTCTTTTTCTGCTTGGCTTGTTTCACTTAGGATAATACTTTCCAGGTCCCTCCATGTCGTCTCAAAGGATAAGAGATCTTTCTTTCTTACAGCTGCATAGTACTCCATTGTGTATATGTACCACTGCTTTTTTATCCATTCGTCTACTGATGGACACTTGGGCTGTTTCCAGATCTTAGCTATGGTAAATAGTGCTGCTATGAACATGGGGGTACATATATTCTTTCTGATTGGTGTTTCAGGTTTCTTAGGGTATATTCCTAGAAGCGAAATCACTGGGTCAAATGGAAGTTCAATTTTTAATTTTTTGAGATAACCCCATATTGTTTTCCATAGTGGCTCCACCAGTCTGCATTCCCACCAGCAGTGTACCAGAGTCCCCTTTTCTCCACACCCTCGCCAATACTTGTTGTTTGATGATTTGTTGATGGCGGCCATTCTGACAGGTGTGAGGTGATATCTCGTTGTTTTAATTTGCATCTCTCTGATGAGTAGTGATGTTGAGCATTTCTTCATATGTCTCTTGGCCATTTGTATGTCCTGTTTGGAGAGGTGTCTATTCAGCTCCTCTGCCCATTTTTTAATTGGGTTCTTTGTCTTCCTTCTGTTGAGTTGTATGAGTACTTTATATATTTTGGAAATTAACCCCTTATCTGATGTATCATTGGCAATGATGTTCTCCCATACAGTGGGATGCCTTTCCATTTTGATGGTTGTTTCTTTTGCTGTGCAGAAGCTTTTTAATTTGACATAGTTCCATGTGTTCATTTTTTCCTTTGTTTCTGTTGCCTTAGGTGATGTATCAGTGACAATTCTGCTGCGTATGATGTCCGAAATTTTGTTGCCTACATTTTCTTCTAGAATTTTTATGGATTCACGGGTCACATTTAAGTCTTTTATCCATTTTGAGTTTATTTTTGTGTATGGTGTAAGTTGATGGTGTAGTTTCTTTTTTTGCATGTAGCTGTCCACTTTTCCCAACACCATTTATTAAAGAGGCTGTCTTTACTCCACTGTAAGCTCTTGCCACCTTTGTCAAATATTAATTGAGCATATTGCCTTGGGTCCATTTCTGGGTTTTCTATTCTGTTCCACTGGTCTATATGCCTGTTCTTGTGCCAGTACCAGGCTGTTTTGATTACAGTCACTTTGTAGTATAATCTGATATCTGGTATTGTGATCCCACCTACTTTGTCCTTTTTCAAAATTGCTGTGGCTATTTGGGGTTGTTTTTGGTTCCATATGAACTTTTATGTTTTTTTATTTTTTATTTTTTTATCCTCACCTGAGGACACTTTACCATTTTCCGTTCAGGTAGAGTGGGAGGGAGAGAGAGGAACAGAGACAGAGAGAGAGAAACATCGACGTGAAAGGGACACATCGAGTGGCTGCCACCCGCACAACCAACCAGGGCCGGGGACAAACTGCAACCGAGGCACGCGCCCTCAGCAGAAACCGAACCCGGGTCCTTCAGGACCGCAGGCCGACGCTCTAACCGCTGAGCCAAACCAGCCAGGGCTCCATATGAACTTTTTAAATTTATTTTTATTTTTTATTTTTTTATGAATTAATTTTTGTTACAGATGTTTCTCCTTCCCCCCCCCCCACTGATTCCCCCTTCCCCCTCCCTCCCTGCCCTGTCCCCAGCTTTGTTGTCCATGTCCACTGTTCATGCACACATGCATATAAGTTCTGTGGTTTATCTCTCCCCCACCATCCCCTCTTCAGGGGATTGTCAGTCTGTACCCCACTTCCACATCTCTGGGACTACTCCATTCCTCAGACTGTTATGTTCATTATATTCCACAAATAAGTGAGATCATATGATACTTGTCTTTCTCTGTTTGGCTTGTTTCACTTAGGATGATTCTTTCCAGGTCCCTCATGTCATCTCAAAGGATAAGAGATCTTTCTTTCATATGAACTTTTGAAGTATTTGTTCTAGTTCTGTGAAATATGTTGTTGGTATTTTGATGGGGATTGCACTGAATCTCTAGATTGCTTTGAGTAATATGGACATTTTAATGATGTTAATTCTTCCAATCCATGAACAGGGTATATGCTTCCACTTTCTTATATCTTCCTCTATTTATTTTATTTTATTTTTCCAATGTCCTGTAGTTTTCTGCAAATAGGTCCTTTAGTTCTTTGGTTAAGTTTATTCCTAGGTATCTTAAATTTTTTTTGCCACGATAGTAAATGGGATTGTTTTTTCAGTTTCTCTTTCTGTGAGTTCATCATTCGTGTATAAGAATGCCATCGATTTTTTTATGTTAATTTTGTATCCTGCTACTGTGCCAAATTCATTTATTAAGTCTAGTAGATTTTTGATGGAGTCTTTAGGGTTTTCTATGTATAATATCATGTCATCTGCAAATAATGACAGTTTCACTACCTCCTTTCCACTTTGGATCCCTTTTATTTTTTCTTCATGTGGCTAAGACTTCCAGTACAATGTTAAATAGGAGTGGCAAAAGTGGACGTTCCTGTCTTGTTCCTGTTCTTAAGGGAAATGCTTTTAGTTTCTGCCCATTGAGTATGATGTTGGCTGTAGGTTTTTCATATATGGTCTTTATTATGTTGAGATATGATCCCTCTATTCCCACATTGCTGAGCGTTTTTATCAGAAATGGATGCTGGATTTTGTCGAATGTTTTTTCAGCATCTATTGATATGATCATGTGGTTTTTATTCTTCATTTTGTTTATGTGGTGTATCACATTTATTGATTTGCAAATATTGTACCAGCCTTGCATCCCTGGGATGAATCCCACTTGGTCCTGATGAATAATTTTTTTGATGTATTGCTGGATCTGATTTGCTAGTATTTTGTTCAGGATTTTGGCATCTATGTTCATCAGGAATATTGGCCTTTAGTTTTCTTTCATTGTAGTGTCTTTTTCTGGTTTTGGAATTAGAATTATGCTGGCCTCATAAAATGAGTTTGGAGGTACTGTTGGTTAATTTGAATCAGAATCCAAATGAGATCTACATACTACATTCAGTTTTTTTAATTTAAGATTTTTAACGGATAGATTCCTTCCTTTCCTCTTTTGTTTGTCGTTTATTTGTTAAAGAAACCATGTAATCTGTCCTATAACATTCCCTACACTATAGGTTTGGCTGAATCTTTTTCTGTGGTGTTATTCCATATTTTTCTATTTCCTATAACCTAGTAGTTGGATCTAACAATGTGATCAGGCTCATATTCTATTTCTTTTTAAGATTTTTAATTGACTTTTAGAGAGAGAGCAAGAGAGATAGAGAAAGGGAGAGGGAGAGAACACTGATGTGAGATCAAAACATCAATCGGCTGCCTTCTGCAGCGACCCCCCCCCCCCCATTAAGCCCACAACCTGGGCATGTGCCCTCACCAGGAATTGAACATGCAACCCTTTGGTACATGGGACAATGCCCAACCAACTGAGCCACACCGGCAAGGGCTCATATTCTGTTTCTTTAACAAATATTTTTTATATACCTACTACATGCAAAGAAGTTATTGGTTGGATCATAGGTCAACCACAGGTTAACTGAGTAGTTATTTATGTTTATAAGTCATCTTGAACATGGACAGCCATGCTCACAAAAATGAAAGGATGTCTATGATATGTTAAGTGAAAAAAGCAATATACAAAATAATGTATAGTGTAAGCCCTTACAAATGTGTAAAGCCACTCAACTTATATACAGACTTGTTTAAAAATATGTAGAAAAAGTTATGAAAAGACATGAGCCAATAGATCTATCTAAGTTTGGGTTTATAAAGAGATAAAGTGGAGAGAGATTTTCATATTTTACTTTGTTCACTTCTGTTTTTAAATTTTTGGAAGCAAATGTGTATTTTGAACTTGAAAAGCAAAAGTGAGGGGTGGGTGGGAGGGAGGAAGGGAACAAAGGAGGAGAGGAAAGGGAGAGAGAGAGAGAGAGAGATGGGGAGGGAGGAAGAGAGAGAAAAGCTCCTCCTGGCAAGCAAATGAGACAATTAAAGGGATGTTTGAAGTCAGATTGCTAAATATTTTGAAGGTCACTCTGGCTCCTTGACTAATCAGAATAGGCCCAACCGATCATACTCAGTGTAGACATGTACCACACGGGTATGTACCAGATGAGCATCAGCCCTGGCTCGGTATTTGTGGCTTCTGGGCACCTGTCTCAGCTCTGTCCTCAGTTCAGGCTTCACTTATACTCAGGTCCACTGTGCTTAGTGTCATTGGGTTATACACTGGACAACTCCCAGTGACACCATCCACACAGACCATCATATGACTAGTACCAACTAGAGTGGCACATCCTGTCTGGAGTGGCCCTCATACATCTTCTCTGACATGGGGCTGAGGGAAAGGTAAGATGCATAGGAGAGAAGTTATCAGTCTAGTACCAGCCTCAGAGAGGGAAGGAGCTAAGACCTGCTGGTGCTGGGAAGGGCAAGGCAGAGTGCAGAAGCTGAGGAGATATGTAGAGCTGCTTCCTAACTCCCAGACCTTACATACGTTACTCTGAGTCTCATATGTAAACATGCAGGTGATAATACATGGTTTGTAGGGTTGTTGTGAGGATTATAATGTTCTGTGGAGTAAATGTCTTGCACAAACTGTCATGTATTATGTGAAGTTGACCGACCATTGCACCTTCCCTCTGCCATTGTTTGCACATGGTCAGCCAATACATTTCAGAGGTGGAATTAGAACTGAGAATCCCCAAGTGTCTTGTTGATTGCTCTATCCTTAGCTGCTTGGACTAGCTTTGTTGCTTCTTTTCTAAACTATGGACAACATGTCTGAGAGTACTCTTACACTTTTTGAAGTGTAGTGATCAACAAACGTAAGCTGATTTTATTGAAGAAAGTACCATGTGTTGAGTGCCTCCTCAATCCATACTAAGCATGTGGGCAGGGCACAACTCCATCCATCATGTGCTAGGAAGGTTATGTGCAGGCTTAAGGCAATGCTGGGAAGACCTGTACACCTGCATACTGGGGACCCTGTGTTGCTACACACAGACCCAGGGAAAAGCCCAGAGACTGAAAGTCTGCCTCCAGCAGTGGAAGGCAAGGAAAGATGGAAGAAAGAGGCTGGCCACTCCAGTCTGGTAATTAATGGAGTTTGTTTGTTTGTTTGTTTGTTTATTTATTTATTTATTTATTTATTTATTTATATCCTTATCAAAGGACATTTTTCCATTTTTTGTTCAGATAGAGTGGGAGGGAGAGATAGAGAGAGAGAGAAACATCAACGTGAAAGGGGCCCATTGAGAGGTTGCCACCTGCATGACCCAACCAGGGCCGGGGACAAACTGCAACTGAGGTACATGCCCTTAGTGGGAGCCGAACCTGGTTCTCTCTGGACCGCAGGCTGTTGCTCTAACCGCTGAGCCAAACCGGCCAGGGCATAATGGAGTTTATTAAGGGAAACTTACATATGAGGCATGCCATGGGCAGCAGCAAGGTAAGATGGATCCCCACACCACTTAGCAGGTGCCAGAGAGTTATATAGGGAGTAAAGAGGGGTTGTACAGAACTAGTACGTGAATGCCACCGCATATGGAAATTACATGCTTGACCAAGTCAGGACAACAACCTGCTCCAGGGACCAGCATGTTGCAGGGGTGCTGATTTATGTCAGAATAAACATTGATTACAATCAGTCTCTAAGAGGGGGCCCGTGGAAAGCAGCCTCTGTCCTGGCCTGGGTTCAGCTTGTAGGGCAGTCCACAGTCTCGCTGTGGAACAGTCTCTCCTCCACACCCTGGCTGTCCAGAGTGGTGGCTCTATATGATCTTGAATGGAGTTCATGTTCTAATATGATTGGAAGAGAATGTTGGCAAGATTGGTCACTTCCCCGAGTGGCAGAACTGGGACTAATGTTCTGGCCTAATTCCCAGCGCATTTGTTACTACACCACCACTAGAAACCTTAAATTTGAATTAGAGGGTTTTAAAAATTGCTTCTCTAGCCCTGGCTGGTGTGGCTCAGTTGGTTGAGCCATCTTCCCATGCACTGAAAGGTCAATGGTTTGATTCCCAGTCAGGGCACATACCCAGGTTGCGGGTTTGATCCCTGGTCAGGGTGCATTTGGAAGACAACCGATCAGTGTTTCACTCTCCCTCTCTTCCTCACTCTCTCAAAAAAAAAAAAAAAAGTCAATAAAACATATTTAAAAAAAATTGCTCCTCTATTGTGGAAAGAAATGTGATCTTTAAATGGTGTTTAATATACTGTTTCTAAAAAATTCTAAATTTCTATTTTTTTAGTGAACAGTGATGTGTTTTGTTCAGTAGATGAAATATATTATTTTACATAGTTCTTCTTATTACCAGTAACTTTCATATGGTTACAGGAACTAGTTTTATTCTCCATAGTTTAATTAACAAAAACTCCAGCCTATGTATTACTGTAAATTAGTCCCTTTGGTTGTATTATATATTTTGTTTCAAGAGAAAAGATAATCTGAAGATTTAATTTTAAATTATTCATGTTGTCACTAATAGAAATAAAGAATAATTATGTGAAAATAATGATGATTCTCTTAAATAAGTTTTGGGATAAATCTTTTGACAGTATTATTAAAGTTTAATAAAATTCACCAATTTTAAGTGTACAATTCAGTGAGTTTTTTATTTTTATCTTTTCTTTATTGGTGTTAGAGAGGAAGGGAGAGGGAGAGAGAGATAGAAACATTGATGAGAGAGGACATCGATTGGCTGCCCCCTGCATGTCCCCCATTGGGAATTTGGCCCACAACCTGGGCATGTGCCCTGACTGGGAATTGAACTGGCGACCTCTTGGTGCATGGGTCAACACTCAACCACTGAGCCACAGCAGCTGGGCCAATTCAGCAAGTTTTAAAAAATGTTCATTGGTGTAACCATCACTGCAATAATAGAGATAAGGACATCTCTATTACAGTATTGGAATAAATTTTAATTATGTTTATTAATTGCAGATGTGAATTTCTTCAAAGTAAGAAAACCTCAGAGGAAATTGCCCAGTATATTCAAAGCTACAAGGGATTTGTTGGTGTCACGGTAATTTACAACAGCATTTTTTTCCCTCGAGTTGGCTTTTGATTACCTAGTGATATCTGAATTAGAAGTGGGTAGGCTTTTGAGGGGGTGGTGGTCATGGACTCTACTTTCTTCTTCCCTACTTTCCTACCCCTATTTCTCATCTGGCAGAGTGAAGAAAATCTCATTCTCTTGCTAAATGAGAGCCCTTCTAAATCTTCTTTCCAGGCTTTGCTTTTGATTGGTCTGTCTGCCTTCCTCACAGTTTCTTCCTCTTTGACCAAGGCCACCTCCTCTAGCTTCCCTTGACTGCCCCATCTGAATGCCTGGATAAGATACTGGGGCCCTGTCACCGTCGCGCAGAGGGCTTCAGAGTTACTGGCTCCTAGCTGGTTACTCTATAACTATTAGTCAGGATTACCTAGTGGCAGGTGATGGAAAACCCAACCCAAATTAGCTTAAGCAAAAAACGGAATGTATTGGCTAACGTGACTCAGAATGTGAGAACCCTGCAGAGAGAACTTGGCCTGGAAGTGGGGGAGAAGTGTTTCTTGAGAAAGAAATTGGGTGCAGCTATCAGAGAAGGATCAGTTGCTCAATACCTAATACCTTTCCGAATCCATACTTCCTCATTAGTCAAATTATATCTGTGATATCTACATGTAAATGAGCTTTGGAGCTAGATCTCTGGAAACAGTGACTCCAGAAGGCTTCCTGTTAGATATAAATGAACATTCAAGGGTTCTGTTTTCTTTCTGCACTGAATAAAAAATTCCAACATTAATAGGAACAAAAATTTAAAGAACACTCTCTAACAACCCTACCACTCAGTCCAATTTGGGGGTTGGGGGGAGGTTTTTCAACTTTTATTCATAGACATGTGTATAATCTAAGTCAAAGTAAAAAATAAAATTAATTTTCTTCAGGGGGAACATTTTGTGAATTCCTGGGTCAAGAGAGATTTACCTATGGCATCAGGTAAACACTCAGATATATTCCAAAGGCGTTGCTTGTTTATTACTCCTTTGGTTTTTCTTTTGTCCTCATTCTTTTTTTTTTTTTCCCAACTGTTCCATTTTCTTCCTCATTTTATGGTGACATTGTCATTAAAACTTATTTTTATAAGATTTCTGTCTTCTGGAGTGATAGTTGTTTGTTTGTTTTTTTAGCATAAATGAGCACAGGACAATATGGTGGGGTTGGGTCCCTGAATGACACTTGTCTTAAAACTACTAACATTTCTAGATAAAATGGTTTTGAAAACATTCTTAAATGGGTCGCTGTCTGTTAAGAAATTGAGATTAAAAAAAATATATGTATATGTATATGTATATGTATATGTATATGTATATGTATATGTATATGTGTATATATATATGCCCCCAGTTCCTGTTCAGGGCTCCTAAAACCCTCATACTTTCCTAGGTGATAAGAGTACTAGAGCATCTTTTGTTTGTTTTGTCCATGGGGACAAAAGCTCCCATTCTTGGGGCCCTCCCAGGCCTCACCCTATCTCTTCATCTAGTTGTTCATCTGCATCTTTTGTCATATCCTTAACAGACTACTAACCATAAGTAAGTGTTTCTCTGAGCTCTGTGAGCCACTGCACAAAGCGGGTGAAGTGGGGCCGTCTTGTGGGACTGAGCCCTCAACTGGGCCCAGCAGTCTTGTGGGGACGCTGCCTCCAGGTAAAGTGTCAGAACTGAGTTAAACTCCAGGACACCCAGCTGGTGTCAGAATTGCTTGGTGGGGGAAAACCACCACACATCCGGTGTCAGGTGTTGTGTAGTGTGAGAGCAAAGGAGACACCGGAGGAAAAGACAGATTTTTCCAATACATTACTCAAATGCAGATTAAAAATGAAGTGTCGGCAGGAATCCTGGGGTTAAGTGGAACATCGAAGCAAGCTTTCATCTTTAGAAAATTTGCAAAACCAAGTTAATGTAGGTTTAATTTTTTTTTTTTTAATCCTCACCCGAGGACATTTTTCCATTTTTTGTTCAGGTAGAGTGGGAGGGAGAGAGAGGAACAGAGAGAGAAACATCGACGTGAAAGGGACACATCGAGTGGCTGCCACCCACACAACCCAACCAGGGCCGGGGACAAACTGCAACCGAGATACCTGCCCTTAGCAGGAACTGAACCCAGGTCTCTTGGGACCACAGGCTGATGCTCTAACCGCTGAGCCAAATAGGCCAGGGCTAGGTTTAATTTTTAAGTCCTTATAGGGCACAGATGATGGGAACCAAACCCCAGAGCCCACCTAAGATGGGAAGTCTAATGGAGACCACTACATAGAGTGGACACCCCAAAGGGCAAGAAATAAATCTGTGTGCTCTTAACGGAGCTACAAGGAAAATTTGTCTTTCTCAAATTTTGACACTAAATTGTGGAGTAGGGGATATCTCCTTTAGTTTTTTGTTAGTTTTATTCTGATGCTAGATGATGAAGAGATCGTTTTTAAAGGTTTTATTATAAAACAATTTTTGAACATAAACAGAAATAAGATAATAGTATAATCATATGTATTCACCATATATCCACTACTCCGCTTCAACAATTTGATACATGGTCATTCTTGCTTCACCTAAACCCCTGTTTCTTTTAACCCCTCCCCCAATTATACTGAAGCACATTCCAAGCATCATATCATTCTACCTGTAAATATGAAGTGATAACTTGAACACTGATACTTGCAATATCAAAACTGGCTGGTCTCACAATATACCTTTTATTCAAGCTTATTGCAATGACAGCATCTTTGCTAACGAAGAACTACGACTGGACTCTTTTAAGAATTGGCCCCATACATCTGTGGGCATTGCAGCTCTGGCCAAAGCAGGTTTTTTCTACACAGGTGAGTCAGTAGTTTGTATCAAGTGTTTGCCTTGCTGCTCATTCAAACCCCACATACATTTCATGATCCTGAGCTTGTATTTATCTAGTGTCAACAATCTCTACTCTTTTAGTCTTTCCTTTTTTTTCCTTTTTCCTTGCTGTATCAGAAATCCTCTCCCAGTTTTCTACAACTCCCTTAGGTAGAGAAGCTCCAAATTGAAGCCTTAAGGTCTAGACTAACAATGAAGACAAGTACAGGTATCCTCCATTTTTCAAAAGTTAGCTTTATGCCACATTATTTTTAAGGAAGACATATACATTAGTACAGGCAGACCTTGGGAATACTGCGGATTCAATTCCAGACCACTGCAGTAAAGCAACTATCACAATAAGCAAGTCATAAATCTATTTGCTGATGGGGGGTCTTACCTTCAATTTGTAAAAAATGTAACATCTGTGAAGCGCATTAAAGCAAAGTGCAATAAAACTGTCACATGACCCTTCTGCTTCTATCTCTTTAACCAGAACCTAGTGGTCAGATGGCCATACCTAGCTATAAGAGAAGCTGGTACATTTCTTCTTTTTCCTGAGTGGCAATGTACCCAGCTAAAAACTGGGGATTCTGTTACTGTGGAAGAATGAGTGATACTGGGAGTGTGGAGAAGCAGTCTTTGACACTCTCTCCTCAGAAGAGGAAATCAGGAAATACTTTTTTAAATGAAGAATCTTCCATCAGCTCAGGGTATTCTCTTTAGCTTCTGGTCATCAGGAAGTTCCACTCTGTAATCACAAAGAGTAGGCTGGTTCCCTTCAGCTGACTCTCTGCCCGAGGTACAATAAGGATCCGAGAAAGGATATCGAGCCCTTCCTTGGTTCCTTGCTGGCCTTCTTCAGACCAAACACACAAATGGAGTTACAGTGGAGGTCCATCCAATCTTCTACTGAGAAGTCAAGTAGATACCACAAATATCACAGAGCAGAACAGAGTACGGGAATGTCGCGGTCACGTTATCTAACAAAAATGTTCCAAGGTACAAAAAATCTTAATGGCTCACAATCTTAAGCATTTGGAAAGGCAGTGTCCCTACTCTCTCTATTCTGTCTTCCTCTTGCCAGCCTCCCTCAAAGACCTTCTGTCCAGTGTCCTCACCCTCTTCTTTTTCAAACCTCCACCTCTCCCCACAAATCCTAATCATCTGACCCTCTTAGGGTCTTGCCAGCTCTAGGACCTCATGTTTTCATGCAGACACAAAGGGAGGCTCTCTTTGCAGTGCCTACAGGGGTCAAGTGTGGGAGGGAGGATGGATGTTCCACGTATAGTTCAATCCTTTGGTATTTTCAAATGCTGCTTTTCTCCCAAAGAAATATAGCCTCACAAGGAGACGTGCTCTTACTTCTAGTGGAATAAATCTGGCAATAATGTAGTAAGAGGCATTTGATTTTTCATGAGCTTACACAAGGGCTGCAACATTTGCTCATATTTTTTTTCTCCTGAGCTCCAAATATATTCTTTCTGATTTCATCACTAAACTTATTGAGTGCCTAATACGTTCTAGGCACTCTTTTAAGTCCATGAGATTCATTGGTGGGCAAAACAAAAAATATCTTCCTTCATGGAGCTTTAATTCCACACTCCAATTTGCACATCTCCTGCTCCGTAGAAAGAGGATGGGACACGGAGAGGGTAAGGTGTTCACCAAAATGCATGGGACACAGGAGCATCCATGACTATTTGCTCATTACTCCATTGTTCTTGTATAGAATATTGCCTCACTGGTGACCCAACTTGTGACTTTGTCACAAAATCTGATTAGAAATGTAAGTAGGGTCTTGCTAATAGAGGCCTGGTGGTTATTACCTGTCTCACTGAGAAATATACGATCAGAAATATAGCACTGATTGAATTTCCTTCAATCTAGGTATCAAGGACATCGTCCAGTGTTTCTTCTGTGAAGGATGTTTGGAAAACTGGGTGGAAGGTGATGACCCACTAGAAGATCATACCAAATGTTTTCCTAAGTGAGTGGAAAGAATGCTCAGTGTCTGAATTTCTATGTCCTTTAAAACGATTCGTTCCTTGTTTTCTTCCTCACTTTCTTATTCATCTTTGCGCATCCCTCTGATTCATACTCTGGAGGATGAGTTTTTATCCTTTTATCCCCTTGCTCTCACGACACTCTTTCCATTTAGCCTTTCTCTCATTATAGTTATAATGTAAAACTATTGACCTAACCAAAAGTTTCTATATGTTTACTTATCATGACTGTGTAAATGCTGTGCATAGGTGAACATGTAGTCAATTAGGATTTATTTCCCCTCTCCACACAAGTTTTAATTTTTGTAGAAAGTGGTAATTGTCTTGTTAGTATGTTTGCTTAATTTTTGCTTTTTGAAATGAAATTCATACATTAACCATTTTACTTTTTTTTTTTTTATCCTCACCCAAGGACATTTTTTTCTCTCGATATTTTGTTCAGATAGAGTGAGAGGGAGAGAGAGAGAGAAACATCGATATGAAAGGGACACATCGAGTGGTTGCCACCCACATGACCCAACCAGGGCCGGGGACAAACTGCAACCAAGATACGTGTTCTTAGCGGCAACCGAACCCGGGTCTCTCTGGACCGCAGGTCAACACTCTAACCGCTGAGCCAAACTGGCCAGGGCCTTTGCCTATTCTTGAAGTGCAAATAGAAGGAAGCATACTGCCTGGTTCTTCTGTGGTTGGCATATTTAGCTCCACATTGTTTTTGAGACTCATTCTTAATTATGTGTAGAGTGGCAGTCCATTTGTTTTCACTGCTATATGGTATATTATTTTGTGAATATATAATAATTTATCCATTCCATGATTCAATATCTGGGTTGTTTTTATTTATTTATTTATTTATTTTTAATTTTTTTTAATCCTCATCTGAGGATATTTTTCCATTTTTTGTACAGATAGAATGGGAGGGAGAGAGAGGGAGAAACATCGACGTGAAGGGACACATCGAGTGGCTGCCACCCGCACAACCAACCAGGGCCGGGGACAAACTGCAACCGAAGTACGTGCCCTTAGCGGGAACCGAACCCGGCCGACGCTCTAACCGCTGAGCCAAACTGGCCAGGGCTCTGGGTTGTTTTTAGAGTGTTGCAAATTCAATTGAGGCTACTACAAACATTCTTGTGCATATTTCCTAGGGCTCATGTGTGTTTCTCTAGGATATATAACAAAACAGAATTGTAGAGTCATAGAATTTGCACATATTCAACTTTACTAGATAGTGCAAAGCTTTTTGCAAAGTGGTTGTACTGGTTTACATTTCCACTAGCATAGATGAGTAATAAATCAATAAATTCGGTCTTGTCCAAATTTAATTTTTTGACAATACAATTACTCATAATGTTGAACACATTTTTATATTTGCGTCTCTTTATGGTTTCCCTATTATTTTTCTTCAGAAGTATGTCTTGATTATTCTTTGCCCTTTGCTCTTTCATATTCAGAGAATATATAAAATGTCCCTCTTTATCCCTCATTGTATTCCTTATTCTTAAGTCTTTATCTGATATTAATATAGCCACTGCACCTTTTCCATAATTAGTTTTTATACTATGTCCTATTTGAAATCATTTTACTTTTAATCTGTGACTTTGTTTAAAGTGAGTTTCTTGTAGGCAACACAATTGGGTCTTGTTTTTAACTCTGACAATGCTTTCCAATGGGAGTATTTAGAACATGTACATTTAATGTAGTTATTGATATGACTGGGTTCAAATCTATTGTTTTGCTATTTGCTTTCTATTTATTCCATCTCTTCTTTGTTTTTCTTCTTTTCCTGACCTTTTTTGCATTTGAGTATTTTTTAGTATTCCATTTCATCTCTACTGTTGGTTTATTAGCTGTTAGTGCCTGCTCTAGAATCTACAATGTGCATGTTTAACATATCACAGTCATCTTTAAATATTGTAACACTTGACATATAATGTATAAATTATGTAACAGTATACTTCTAGTTCTCTCCTCCTATCCTTTGTGCTGTTTTTATCATATATTTTACTTTCATACATATTTACACACTTGGTTACCATCCCTGGTACTCTTCATTCCTTTGGGTGGAGTTCCTTCTGTTATAATTTTTTTTTAAAACTGAAGACCGTCCTTGAACATTTCTTGTAGTGCAGGTGTGCTGACAACTAAATGTATTGGCTTTGTTTGTATAAAAGTCTATAATTTACCTTTCTTTTTTTTTTTAATCCTCACTCAAGGATATTTTTCCATTTATCTTCAAATAGAATGGGGTGAGGGGAGAGAGTGAGAAACATCCACTGGTTGCCTCCCGCACGACCTTGACCAGGGCCAGGGTTTGAACTGCAACCGAGGTACATGCCCTTGACCAGAATTGAACCCATGACTCTTTGGTCCAAGTGCCGACGTTCAAACCGCTGAGCCAAACCAGCAAGGGCTATAATTTACCTTTCTTGATGGGTCTATCTACATAGCAACCTTGGACAGAAATATTTTAAGTCCTACTTGCTGCTTTCCTACAGCTACCCTGCTATTCCTAGACTCATCTCCAAACCATCTAGGAAAATAGAAATGAGTGTTCTCTTGCTTTTTCTCCTGGTTTTCTGTGATTTTGCAGCATGAAAATGAGCCCACGCCAATTGGTTGTTCAGAGTTTTCTCATTTACCTACGCACATTTATAATTCTCACCAATCCAAGTGAATTATTTGGGGCAGAGCTCTTTAGGATTTTCTCCATTGGTTCTTCAGGCAGACGTTATACCTGAGTTTAGAGAGTACTTATGTCCCAGTTTTGTGATGACTGGCAAATAGTTTTTAGAGAGAATGTTTGTGGCCATTCTTTAGTCTTCATATTGATGGAGTTTTTTGTTTGTTTGTTTGTTTGTTTGTTTGTTACATGCCCCTAGCGGGAACCGAACCCGGGAATCTCTGGTCCACAGGCCAACGCTCCAGCCGCTGAGCCAAACCGGCCGGGGCTTCATGTTGATGGGGTTTAAAAAAAAAAAAACCAAACCTTTTATTAGGGAATAATTTTAGATTTAGAGAAAAGGTACAAAGATAATACAGAATTCCTATATCCTCACACCCAGTTTCCGCTAATACTAACATCTTTTACATTACCATGGTACATCTGTCAAGATTAAGAAACCAACATTTGTACATTACTATCAACTCCAGACTTTATTTGGATTTCACCAGTTTTTCTACTGTCTTGTGTTTGTGTTTTTGTTGTTGTTGCAGAATCCATAAATGAAGTTTTCTTTATTATTTCTTTTATTGATGTTGTTTAGAAAGAGAGGAATGGAGAGGGAGAGGGAGAGAGAGAAACATCAATTTGAGAGAGAAACATCGATCAGCTGCCTCCTGCATGCCCCTTACTGAGGATCATTCCCTGACTGGGAATCAAATGGGTGACATTTTGGTGCCTGGGATGACGCTCAACCAACTGAGCCACACTGGCCAGGGCTCTTCTCTATTATTTTTTTATTTTTTTATCCTCACCAAGGACATTTTTGCATTTATCTTCAGATAGAGCAGGAGGGAGAGAGGGAGGAAGAGAGAGAGAGAAACATCGATGTGAGGGAGACACATCTACTGGTTGCCACCCACATGGCCCAACCGGAGCCAGGGACAAACTACAACCGAGGTGCGTGCCCTTAGTGGGAACCAAATCTGGGATTCTCTGGTCTGCGGGCCCATGCTCTAACCGCTGAGCAAATTTGGCCAGGGCTCTTCTCTATTTTTAAATTAAATTTTTAATTGATTTTATAGAGAGGAAGGGGGGAAGGAAAAGAGCAGAAGAAGGAGAGAGAGAGAAAAACATTGATTGGCTGCCCCCCCCACACACACCCCAACTGGGGATTGAACCCACAACTTGGGTAGGTGCCCTGACCAGGAATCAAACCCATCTTTTGGTGTACAGGATGACGGTCCAACCAACTGAGCCATACCAGCCTGGGCTTTATTCTGCATTTTTTATTTTTTAGGTTCATTTTAGTTGGTTTCACATTTGAATATTATCCCTGTCATTATTTTATAAACCATTTATATTTATATTGCTGAGAGCCACAGTCTAAATATCTTGCTTGCTTGATAATGACACTGACGGAACAAATCACTAGACATGTCAATCTTATATTTAATTTTTTTCATTAAAACTCTAACAGTATTTCTAGAAACCTAATACAGACACTTTCTTGCCTATAACTGATTTCATGCTTTTCAACGTTTGTGCTTAGTTGTCAGTTTCTCCTAAACATGAAGGCCTCTGCAGAAGTGACTGCAGACCTGCAGAGCCACGACCAACTCTCTGAACTTACGGTAAGGAGCAACGCCATCTTTTTATTTTAGCAGTACATGATTGAAACCTGTTTTTGAACAGCAACTGCTTATCTTAAATAAATAAATACTACAAATATCTATTAAGCATCTATGATGTGTTTGGGGCAGATGGGGATACTACAGCAAACATGTAAGACATAATACCCAGCTACATTAAATGTAGTCAATCCCTTCTACTTTGGGGCCCAGACTCTTTTAGACTTAGAGGCTATTTTCCCATTGATTTTCAGATAGAGTGGGAGGAAGGGAGGGAGAGAAAGAGAAACACCAATGAGAAAGACAAATTGATTGGTTGCCTCCCAAACAACCCTAACCAAGGGCCAGGGATTGAACTGCAACCGAGGTACGTGCCCTTGACTGAAATCGAACCTGCAACTTCTTGGTCCACAGGCCAATGCTTTAACCATTCAGCCAAACCAGCCAGTGCTGAAAAGATGTTTCTTTTACAAAAGCAAATGACCAGCCAAATCATAAACCCAGATAATAGATTTATCCCCTTAAAACTGAGAAATCCCTCATAGTTCTCTGAGATATAAGCCATTACCAATTTCACACACACACACGCCTTATTTGTGGCTGTATGTTAGGTATATTACATTTTTCATCCCACAGAAATAAAATGTAACTGGCTATTTTTCTTGTTTGTTAATCCTCAATTGTTCCATTGATTTTTAGATAGAGTGGAAGGGAGAGAGGGGCAGGGGAGAGGGGGAGGGAGAGGGGGAAGGGAGAGAGAAAGAAAGAAAATACCAATGTGAGCAAGACACATCGATTAGTTGCCTCCTGCCCAACCCTGACTGGGGCCAGGGATCGAATCTGCAACCTAGGTACATGCCCTTGACCGGGAATCAAACCCGTGACCCCTCAGTTGGCAGGCCAACATTCTAACTACTGAGCCAAACCGGCCAGGGCACTGGCTAGTCATTTGATTCAAGTTTATATTTGTGAGCTGAAAAATGAAATTGAAGAAAAAAAGCTTGGCGATATTTAAATAGCTTATTTTGTAAGGAAGAAAAATATCCTTCCTACACCCCAGGTATATAATGTGAAACATGTTAATAACTAAGGTCAACAACTGTCTCTGGTGATTTTCGGAGGGCCATCTTGCTCTCGATGCTGACTCTGATTACCGGACAGTGAGACACTGCTTGACTCGCCCATGGTCCCCCTAGGAGCACACACATGCAGATGTTTGCAGATCAGGCCTAATTCCGTATTTGTCACACTCTTCCCTTCCATTGGCATACTTATTTGAGGACAGGCTGTGTTGAGATGATGTGTGGTCCCCAACTGTAACATGATGCCTCACCCTCTTATACAAATTTTGATTTACTAGAGGATTTTATTTTCAAAGGAAACCACAAATGAAAGCAATCTTGAAGGTTCAGCAGCAGTTAGTTCTCAAGTGCCAGGTAAGGATTTTGAAGTACATTACATACATGTGTACGTATATGTATATGTAGGGGATTTTAAAAGAGAGTGGATTTGTAATTGTCCCTCCTTTCTTCTCTCCACAGAGACGGCCCAGAGTGAAGCCCAGTGGTTTTGGGAGGCAAAGAATCTGAACCAGCAACTGAGAGAAGCCTACACCGATGCCAATTTCCGCCGCATGTGTTTGCTTGAGGTCTCTTCCTGTCTAGCCACAGAACTGCTGAACTGTGACCTGTCCCTTGCTTCAAAACACATCAGCAGCCCTGTGCAAAAGCCCGTGCTATTGTCTGATGTCTTTGCCAACTTGAACTCGGTCATGTGTGTGGAGGGTGAAGCTGGTAGTGGAAAGACAGTCCTCCTGAAGAAAATAGCTCTTCTATGGGCATCAGGATGCTGTCCCTTGTTAAACAGGTTCCAGCTGGTCTTCTATCTGTCCCTTAGTTCTACCACACTGGACCAGGGGCTGGCCAACATCATTTGTGACCAACTCTTAGGAACAGAGGGATCTGTTACTGAAACGTGCATGAGGACCATCATCCAGCAGTTAAAGAATCAGGTGTTATTCCTTTTGGATGACTACAGAGAAGTGTGCTCAGTCCCTCAAGTCATAAAAAAACTGATTCAAAAAAGCCACTCGTCAAAGACCTGTTTATTGATTGCTGTCCATACAAACAGGGCTAGGGACATCCGCCGATACCTAGATACAATTCTAGAGATCAAAGTGTTTCCCTTCTATAATACTATCTACATATTAAAGAGGCTCTTTTCTCATCATTTGACCCGTCTGAGAAAGTTTATGATTCACTTTAGAGTAAATGCAAATTTGCTGGGAATTCAGAAAACTCCGCTCTTTGTAGCAGCAGTCTGTGCTAGTTGGTTTCAAAACCCTTTTGACCAGTCCTATGATGATGTGTCTGTTTTCAAGTCCTATATGGAATGCCTTTCCTTAAAGCATAAAACTTCAGCTGAACTTCTCAAAGCAACTGTGTCCTCCTGTGGTGAGCTAGCCTTGAAGGGGTTTTTCTCATCCTGCTTTGAGTTCAGTGATGATGACCTTATAGAAGCAGGGGTTAATGCAGATGAAGATCTAACCATGTGCCTGATGAGTAAATTCACAGCCCAGAGACTGAGACCAGTCTATAAGTTTTTAGATCCCACATTCCAAGAATTTCTTGCTGGGATGAGGCTGATGGTACTCCTGGATTCAGAAAGGAAAGAAGATCAAGATTTGGGACTTTATTATTTGAAACAAATCCACTCATCCATGATGGTTATAAGTCCCCATAAAAATTTTTTGAAGTACATCTCCTGCTACCCTTTAACAAAGGCTGGGCCAAAAATTGTATCTCATTTGCTTCATTTGTTGGATGATGAAGAGTCATTGAGGAATATATATGAGCCACATGACAATCTAAAGCACGATTCACAAGCTTTGGACATGGGGGACTTATATAGGATTTTGGGGCAACTATCTCCAGAACATTACTTTTTACTGGTTTCAAAACATTTACTGGCTCTAGCCATAAACATTGCTTATCAAAGCAACACTGTTGAGGCATGTTCTCCACTTATTTTGCAATTCCTTCAAGGCAGAACTCTGACTTTGGATACGCTTAACTCACAGTATTTTTTTGACCATCCAGAAAGCCTGTTGTTGTTGAAGAGCATCCACGTCTCCATAAGAGGAAAAATAGAAACCAGGTTACCCATCCCAGTTAGTTCAGTCCTGGAAAGATGTTGGGACAAATCACAGGTACCAACCATACATGAGGACTGTGCTTCTGCCTTTGAAGATATGATGAAATGGGAGCGGAATTTAGCTGAAAAACAGGAAAATGTGAGGATATTTATGAATATGGAATTCAGAGCACCACCAGACATCAGCACTGGCTACTGGAAACGTTCTCCGAAGCAGTACAAGATTCCCCTTCTGGAAGTGCATGTTACTTCTATGGATGGTGTGGACCAAGAGATGCTCAGGGTTCTAATGGAAGTTTTCTCAGCTTCACAGCACATCGAACTTCATTTAATGAACAGCAGGGGCTTTATTGAAAGCCTTCGCCCAGCTTTTGAGCAGTATAAGGCTTCTTTCACCAAGTGCTCCATAAGTGAATTTGAGCTGAATGCAGTGGAACAGGAATTGCTTCTCAACCTGCCTTCCCTGGGATCTCTCCAAGTCTCAGGAACAACCCAGATACAAGGTATATACCTGAAGATGTATTAGCTGGCGATTCAGATGGTAACTTGATTTGCTCACTCTTAGTTTTAGGTGGATTAAATTTCTGAAAGCTTGAGACCATAAATGCTTGCTGATAGAAAAGACATAAAATACACCTTCAGTAATTTATTTTTGTCAGTAGTATGAATTAATGAAAGGCCTCTAAGTAGAATGCTTTTCAAACAATTCAGGTAAAAGTGAACTAATTTCAAGCAACTCGGATAAAAATAATAAAATATTAATAGATACAAATTACTTATTAGTAAAATAATGATCTGATGGTAAAGAAGATGCTTGAGGATCACCCTCACCTACCTGCTTAATGGGAGGAGGGGCCTATCCTGTACTCGCTGGGAAATAATAGCTCCCATTTATTCGTGTCTTTTCACTTTCAAGTAACGTTTGCAAGTTTTTAGTGTAGACTTTATATTTCTTTCATTAAATTTATTCCTAGGTACTTGTGTTTTTCTATATTTGTGTAAATACTATTTGTGTTTTTCACTTTCTAATTTTTGCTAGTATGGCTTTGGTTTTTCAACAGTTTGTTATATGCCTAGGTGTGCTTTGCTTTGTATTTATCTTGCTTTAGGGTCACTGAACATTTTTGGATCTGTGGGTTATTTATCATAACATTTTGCTTGCTCACTCTGCTGGTGTGGCTCAGGGGTTGAGTGCTGACCCCAAGCACTGGGTGGGTGCCAGTTCGATTCCCGGTTGGGGCACATGCCCAGGTTGTGGGCCTGGTCCCCAGTGGAGGGCGTCCAGGAGGCGGCCGGTCGATGTTCTCTCTCATCGATGTTTCTGTCTCTCTCTCCTTCTCCCTCCCTCTATCTCTAGAGTCAATGGAGAGGGAGAAATTAAAAAAATAATTTTGCTTGCTATTTTCAATATTTCTCTTATTATAGTAAACTATATATAAAATGTACAATTGTAACCATTTATGTCTACAATTCAGTGGCATTATGTACATTTACAATGTCATGCAACCATCACTGCTATCTATTTCCAGAAACTTTTCATCATCCCAAACAAAAACTCTGTACCTATTAAATAACTCCTTCTTCTTCCATGCTGCTGATAATGTCTATTCTACCTTATGTCTCTATGAATTTGTCTAGTCTAGATATTTCATATAAGTGGAATCATACGATATCTTGTCCTTTTGTGTCTGGCTTATTTCACTTAGCATGTGTTCAAGGTTCATCCATGTTGTAGCATGAGTCAGAACTTCATTCCTTTTATAGATTAATAATAGTCCATTGTGTATATGTATATATATCATGTAGGTATGTATGTATGCGTATCGTGTGTGTGTGTGTGTATCTCAGATGTTTATCCATTCATCTGTTGATGGACACTTGTGTTTCTTCTGGCTACTGTAAGTAATGCTGCTATGAACATGGGTGTACAAATATCTCTTTGAAACCCTTCTTTCAATTCTTATAGAAGTGGGACTACTGCATCATATTAATAATAATAATTTTATGTAATTTTTGAGGAATCGCCAAACTGTTTTCCACAGTGGCTGCATAGTTTTGCATTTCCACGAGCAATGTACGGGGCAGGGGTGGGCTCCAATTTTTCCACATCCCCATCAATGCTTGTTTTTTACAAAAATCATACAGGCATCCTAGTAAGTGTGAAGTGGTATTTCATTGTGAGTTTGATTTGCATTTCTCTAATGAAATAATGATTTAAGCATATTTTCATGTGCTTATTTATTGGTTTGTTGTGCCTTTTTTGGGAAGGCATGTCTATTAAGTCCTTTGCCCATTAAAAATTTTTAAATTGATTTTAGAGAGAGAGGAAGGGAGAGGGAGAGATAGAAACATCGATGACAGAGAACGTCGATTGGCCACCTCCTGCATGCCCACACTGGGGATTTGGCCCACAACCTGGGCACATGGCCTGACCGGGAATCGAACCAGGACCTCTCAGTTCTTGGGATGATGCTCAATCCATTGAGCCACACCAGTCAGGTGCTGGCTCTGATTTTAGCCCTACTAAAACTCCAGTTACTCTTCTATGACTGGACTAAGGGAAATGGGACTTTGGAAACCCAGGGATGTAATTCCACAGAAATAAAGCTTTGTATTATATCGCATCCTCCAGTGCCAGTCTCAGAAATGTCCTTTTCTCGGTTTATCCAAAGGACCCCATTCCCACTAGCAACAGGGCAGGTGGCAGGGGACGAAACACGTTTTCCTCCCATGACAGTCTGTGAAAGTTTTCATGTAAAAATAGCTTGATGAATCAAAATAACAGTTTCAAATTTTCCACTTGGAACTCTTTACCTTAATAATGGAAAACTGTGTGCTGCTTTCTAGATCAACTCTTTCCTAATTTGGACAAGTTCCTGTGCCTGAAAGAATTATCTGTGAATATGGACAGACAGAATGTTTTTTCAGTTATTCCTGAAGAATTCCTAAATCTCCACCATATGGAGAAATTATTGATCCAAATTTCCTCTGAGTATGCTCCTTCCAAACTAGGTAAGGATGGCACTTTGGTTTACTTGTTTTCACATCATTTGGTAGAGCTACTTGGCAAATGATTCATTTAAGTGTTAAAGCTTCTGTGGATCTATGGGTGAAGTCTGTATCCATGGCAAAGTGGGAATAGCACTTTCTCATTAAGAGCAGAGAGCTATTTGTAATTATTGAGCCCTTACTACGTGCTAGGGATTGTTAAAGCACCTTACAAATATTAACCTTCATACCCATTCTATGAGGTAAGGTACTATTATTTACAGCTGGGAAATTGAGGTATAAAGACCTTCATTTGCTCAAGGTCACCCAGCTAAGGAAATGGTAGACCCGTGATTCAAACACAGGGATTCTGATTACTACTAAGTCTGAGCTTTAACCATTGGTATACTGTCTCTCCAAAATAACTGAAAGAGTTCTTTTATTTTGTTTTGAAGTGACAGATCTGCCGGATTAGGTGGAAGGCAATATGCTGAAAGGCAGCAACGGAAGCATTTCCGTTCTTCCCACCAGCCTCATGGTTAACGGACAACTCATACAGCCACCTTTCTTACATACATCACGTAGCGAAATGACAGGTGTCACCAATTCCTTATTTTAGTAAAGACTGAACAGTAGGGACCGAGGAAATGTAAATCTCTATGGAACTGACATGCAGAACTGCAGGCAGAAGAATTCAGAGCTGAAGCCTGAAGTAGTTGTTTCTGTACATTTGTTAGCAATTTTTGCATCAAATTTAGATTTTGTTTCAGAGTTGGTACTACTTTTGTTTCTTTGTATAGTATTCCTATTGTGTAAATGTCATGTACAAACTCAGAAACATTAGGATGTTAAAGCTGAAGGTGACTTTGCCAAGTCAATACGCTTATTTTACAGAAAACTGATGCCGAGAGGCTCAGTAACTACATGTCCAAGTTCACACAGCTGACTACTTAGTTGAAGAACCTGAACCTAAGCCCAGAGTGGGGTGATTCTTGGATCATTACACTGTAGTGCTTTGTTTTAACTCAATATTGTTAAACCAACATAACAAATTATGTGGCTAATCTTGATAAAAATGTGCAATCTTGCCTAATTTCTTAAATCTTTTATATTTTACAGTCAGATTAATTCAGAATTCCCCAAATCTTCAGGTTTTCCACCTGCAATGTAATTTCTTTTCGGATTTTGAGTCTCTCATGACTGTACTTGCTTCCTGCAAGAAACTCAAAGAAATTAAGTTTTCTGGAGCATTTTTTAAAGCCATCCCATTTGGTAAGAGCTACAATTGTAAAGTTTTGGTTTAAGATGCTTCTGTGGACAGCCATGTTAAGTAAGCACTTTTTAAAAAGAGTCAAATTTTAACCATGTAATTGATGTCAAAGAACTATTGTAATAGATATGTGATCTTAAACAAGTTATCAAATGAGTTCTATGTGCTTGTAGTTTAAATATCTCTACTTATCAATATTATTTCCTGAGTAAAGATTTATCTAGTCATACTAATGAATTCTATCTGAATTATTGTATTATTTTCTATCACTTTAAAAATATTCTTTAAACACGTTACTTTTTTGGTATAAGAGTTGCAGCTTAAATAACTAGATTTTATTTTCCTTTTATAGTCACCATTTTGCCAAATTTTATATCTCTGAAGATATTAAATCTTCAACACCAGCAATTTCCGGATAAGGAAATATCTGAAAAATTTGGTATGTTGACAAAACTGTCCTTTTACCCATTCTTCACTCCCCTCCCCCCAGTCCTTCTTCTATCTTGCATTAGCTACAACACATCGTGATATGTATTAACTGCCTTAGCTAATTAGGACGAAGGGGAGAGTGTCGCTCAGCTTCTACTCTCAAATGCTTTGCATGGTCTCAGCGCCTTGTTTCTTAGAATACGTCGTCGGTCGCTATGGCACTACGCAATTTCATCGGCAGGTACCCATTCCAAACATGTTCCGTTTGTGTTGTTTTCAAAGTTTCTGGGATATAGGTAAAACTATCTTTTAAGGTTAACAAACTCAGTATGTGAAAACCCAGGTTGAACAAAATGACTAGCTGTATAGAAAGTACTTAAATACTTATTCATTTTTTTGTGATTATAAAAATAACGTATGCCCATTGGAAGTAAAAGATAAAGTGAGACATATTAAAACATTTTTTATTTGAGTAAAAATGGATTTGAATTAGGCGGCATCCCGTTTAGCAGATAGAAAGGAGTTCTGAGGAGCTATACAGAATGATTTGGCAGAAGGGAGCAGGAACAAGGAAATTATACTAGGCAAAAACACTGGTTGGTGATTGCAAGGTTAATTTCCTTTAGGGGATGGCAGGGTTCTATAAGGCAGATTAACTAACTAGTGCTGATCAGGTGATTCCTGACTGGTTTAAGATTCCATTTCTGGGAGAGCTGAACAACTAAGTCTTGCTTTGGTGACATTAGGTTTAGCATAAGCAACTCCATTTGGGGCTTATGTCTCTCTCTTTTGTTTTAAATCCTCACCCGAGGACATTTTTGCATTTATCTTCAGATAGAGTGGGAGGGAGAGAAGGAGGAAGACAGAGAGAAACATGGATGCGAGAGAGACACATTGAGTGGCTGCCACCCACATGACCCCAATTGGGGCCGGGGGACAAACTGCAATGGAGGTGCGTGCCCTGAGCGGGAACCAAACCTGGGTCTCTCTGGTCCGAGGGCCTGAGCTCCAACCGCTGACCCAAACTGGCCAGAGCTTATGTCTCATTTTTAATTCAGGAAAACATAAGGTAAGTCAGTAAAGACATGGAATGTGGAGCAGTTAGTGCCTTTTAAACTTGAGCATGCTTAAGAATCACCTGGGTCTCCTCGTCTTCTTTCCTTCCTTCGGAGGCAGCCATGTGGGTGGGGGAGGAGCAGGAGGGCTGAAGGGGCAGATACGTATCAGGGATCAAGAAAGTGCCTGGTATATAAATCAGGTTGATTAAGCAAATACATCGAGTATAATGAGAGCCAAGTTTCCTCACTGTTAGAGAAGGAATTTATAAACATTGAAAGGGTAGGTTAGAAAGAACTTTGAGATTAAATTAGTATTGGAAATATTGGCAAAACTCATATTTTGTTTTGTTTTTTGGTACATGCCCCTAGCAGGAACCGAACCCAGGACGCTCTGGTCCGCAGGCCAGTGCTCCAACCGCTGAGCCAAACTGGCCAGGGCTAAACTCATGGTTTTTAACCCGTTCACATAGATAAATAGATCAATGAACACACAGATATAGATATCCATGTATCTATATATCTCTATACACAAATACAAACATACATTTCTAAGCTTAGTTAACTGAAAGGCTAGAAAGCATCTGAATAGCAATGAGCACACCACATCTTGACTTCTAAATATTGGCCTCCCTAAAAGGAACCAAAGTTCTTGGAGAAATGACTGATGTAAGAACTGGGACAGAGAAAGTAAAAGATAAGCCTGGAACACTGTTTTTTCCTTTTTAAATCTTCACCTGAGGATATGCTTCTCATTGATTTTAGAGAGAGAGAAACATTGATTGGTTGCCTCCCGTACTCTCTGACCTGGGATTGAACCCGCAACCCAGGTATGAGCCCTGATGGAGATTTGAATCTGCCACCTTTTGGTGCACAGGATGACGCCCCAATCAGCTGAGCCCCCCGGCCAAGGCCTGGAACACTATTCTGTGGTAGGAAGTGTTCAAAACATTTCCAGGTGTGAGGCCTCAGAAGTAGAGGACTTTCTAGGGATCAAGTGATCCATAATGTACCATGCTAAGGAGGAATCAAAGTGAAGGAAAGATAGAGTGGAGGATTGTGAGGCTTCAGTGCTGCGGCAGAGGGAGAATCAGAGATAAGAGCAGGTGTGACCGGAAGGAAGCGGCGAAGGCCTTGAGGAGCCGGGAGAGTATCCAGGACGCCAGTAGAAGCTTCAGTCTAAAAGAGGAGATGGCCCTGGCCAGTTTGGCTCAGCGGTTAGAGCGTCGGCCTGCGGTCTGGAGAGACCCGGGTTCGGTTCCCGCTAAGGGCACGTACTTCGGTTGCAGTTTGTCCCCGGCCCTGGTTGGTCGTGCGGGTGGCAGCCACTCGATGTGTCCCTTTCACATCGATGTTTCTCTCTCCCTCCCTCCCACTCTATCTGTACAAAAAATGGAAAAATATCCTCGGGTGAGGATAAAAAATAAATAAATAGCCCTGGCCGGTTTGGCTCAGCGGTTAGAGTGTCGGCCTGCGGTCCTGAGAGACCCGGGTTCGGTTCCCGCTAAGGGCACGTACCTCGGTTGCAGTTTGTCCCCGGCCCTGGTCGGTTGTGTGGGTGGCAGCCACTCGATGTGTGCCTTTCACATCGATGTTTCAGTCTCTCTCTCTCTGTTCCTCTCCCCCCACCCCCCCACTCTACCTGAACAAAAAATGGAAAAATGTCCTCGGGTGAGGATAAAATAAATAAATAAATAAATAAATAAATAAATAAATAAATAAATAAATAAATAAAATAAAAGAGGAGATGGATATGTGATAGGTACTCTGGAATGCAGTGCAGAAAGGATTGAGTGGGGAGGGTGAACAAAATGGTTGTCTGGAAGCAGCAATGACGATCTGGGTGCAGGCTGACTTTCGCTTGTCCTTGGAGTGGAAGAGGAACAGTGTACTGCATGTGGCCTCCTGGGCTATGCATGATTTTAAGGCTAGAGACCATTTTTGGGGAACACGGTACAAAAAAGAGCTTTTTTTGTGTGTCTCCTGATAGCCTATACTTTAGGTTCTCTTAGTAACCTGGAAGAATTGATCCTTCCTACTGGGGATGGGATTCATCAAGTGGCCAAACTGATCATCCAGCAGTGTCAGCATCTTCGATGTCTCCGCGTTCTCTCATTTTTCCAAACTTTAAATGATGACAGCGTAATGGAAATTGGTAAGTTACCCGCAGATAAAATGTCTCAGCTTGCCCTGGCTGGGTGGCTCAGTTGGTTGGAACGTTGTTCTGTACATCCAAAGGTTTCGGGTCAATCCCGAGTGGAAGCGCGTATGGGAGGCAACCGATCAGTAGTTCCCTCTCTGTTTCTCTTTCTCCCTCTAAAATCAATAAACATGTCCTCAGGTGAGGATTAAAAAAAAAAGTTTCAGCTTGCATGAAAGCCACTGATATCACTCATGTCTATAACAACTTCTGTCTCCCTAAAAATGTTCAACCCTCTTCCTCACTTTCGCTGTCTTAGCTCCCTCTTATGTCCTATCGATTTAGGTTCATCCTGGTTAGGTTGGAAGTAAAAGATGTCCTATTTGAGACTATGCAAGTCCTCAGCTCTGTGTTCTTGACACCCAGTGCTCCAGACACCTGGCCACATGCTTTCCATGTACTTCTTTTTACAGTATTGAAAAAACTGAACATTATTACACATACAGAAAAGTATACAAGTCATAAATGTACAGCTCAATGAATTTTCATTTTCTCAGCACCTCAGTCTCTATGGTTAGTCATGCTATAGCCATGGATTCTAAAGTGAAACCAAACCTAACCTTTGCCCAAATTATGAAAAAGAGATTTAGCAATTAAAAAGGAAACAAAAGCCCTGGCCAGTTTGGCTCAGTGGTTAGAGTGTAGGCCCGAGGACCAAAGGGTTGAAGGTTCAATTCTCGGTCAAGGGCATGTACCTGGGTTGCAGGTTCAATTTCCGGCCCAGGTCAGGGTGGTGTGGGAGGCAACCAATCGATGTATCTCTCTCTCATCAGTGTTTCTCTTCCTCCCTCCCTACCTTCCACTCTATCTAAAAAACTCAATGGAAAAATATCCTTGGGTGAGAATTAAGAAAAATAAATAAATAAAAAATAAAAATGAAACATAAACCTTGCTATGTATCTACTTCCACAGTCAACCTGTATTCATTGAGAATTTGCTGTGTGCCAGGCCCTCACATCCTTCAGAATCTTCAATAAGAGTAGGGTCCCTTCGGGAAACAGGTGTAGTGTACAGTAGTAGACAGAGAGAAGACATGGTTTGAGGAACGTCACATCTTATTCTCTGTAAAAGGGGAGATGTGGTTGACACAACCTCTCATGTCCCTTGTCACTTAGCCTGTTTCTTTTTTTTGTTTAAAAACTGTTTATTATGCAAAATATTAACTTTTATAAAAAGTTTAATAACATACATCTCATGGTTACAGAAAGTCACCTTCCTGCAAAAAGGTATAAAAGCTATACACTCTATTATAGAGTTCATAATCAACCTAGTCTGTTTCTTAGCCATGCTGCGCTTTGACATCTCTCGTCCTATGAGACCAAAAGAGAAGTCCAAATGTGCGCAGAATGACAGAACTCTCACAGCAAACGTGGCTTCAGCGCTCTAGGGTTCAGCTTTACTTCTCTGGTTTCTGCTTTTCCCTTGGGTTTTGGCCAGGCAGTTCTTTATTAACTTGTCAGCATTTTGAGACTTTCAAGGAGATATTTTAAACATTTTATTGGCATTTTCTAAGTTCAGTGGTAGGAGAGAAGGTTGGTTCAAATAACCTAGCCTACCATTATTGAAATAAAAGTCCTGCCCAGCCGGTGTGGCTCAGTGGATTGAGCATCATCCCATGGACTGAGAGGTCCTGGTTCGATTCCCAGTCAGGGCACATGCAGGGGTTTTGGGCTCGATCCCCAGTAGGGGACGTGCAGGAGGCAGCTGACTGATGTATCTCTCTCATATCAATGTTTCTCTCTCTCTCTAAAAAATCAAAACATATATAAAAAAAACCCTTATGATTCAGATTTCATAAACATTTTGCTTTTACAGCCAACGTAGCAATCACTGGAGGTTTCCAGAAACTTGAGAACTTAAACCTTTCAGTGAATCACAAGATTACAGAGGAAGGATACAGAAATTTCTTTCAAGCACTGGACAACTTGCCAAACTTGCAAGAGTTGACGATTTCCAGGAGTCTCACTGAGTGTATCAGAGCTCAGGCCACCACAGTAAAGTCTCTGAGTCAGTGTATATTACGGCTGCCAAGACTCACCACTGTTAACATGTTAAGTTGGCTCCTGGATGCAGAAGACATCACACTGCTTACTTCTACGAAAGAAAAACACCCTCAATCTAACCAACTTACTATTTTCTGGAAATGGATATTGCCATTCTCTCCAATCATTCAGAAATAGAAAATTTAGCTAAAATATGCTGAATCAAGAAAATTTTTGTCAATAGTTCTAAAAATCTAATTATCCAAAATCATTTTATTAAATATTGCATGCAAAAAAGTTTATGAAACATGTAAGGTGTGTAAAAAAATAACTCTGCCTGTCCATCATTGAGCTTAAGAAACAGATTATTGCCAGGCCGGTGTGGCTCAGTAGTTGAGTGTTGACCCATGCACCAAGAGTTCACCGGTTTGATTCCTGGTCAGGGCACATGCCCAGGTTGTGGGCCCGATCCCCAGTGGAGGGCATGCAGGAGGCGGCCAATCTATGTTCTCTCTCATCGATGTTTCTCTCCCTCTCTCTCTCCCTAAAAATCAATAAAGAAAAAATATTTAAAAAAAACAAAAGATTATTACCAGCATCTCCGAAGTCTCTCAATGATCCTCCCCAAGTTTAGACATCTAATCCTCCATTATCCAACATCAGCATCAGGTTTTCAGGCTAGCTACGGTAAAGAGTAATAAAGCCACCAGGAGAAATGGGTACAGGGAGATACACTGATCTAAAAGTCACAATATGGAAGAACTCAGGTTATAGGAAATGACTAACTTAAGAAATGAGTCGGTTTCACACACAGGTGAAACAAGAGCTCACTTTAATACAGGGTGCAGATGAATCTCTCGTGGGCCAAGAGATACTTCTCAATCCTTGTAGGACCTGTTCTGTAGATTTAACTTTGGTGTAGTTGAGTTTACTTATCCCTTCCCTTTGTCCAGTGTGAAGAGAAATAGGATTTAGGGGAAAATGTTTTAATTCCAGAGGCTTTTGATTCAACATTACTGTATAAGCAAAAAATGAAAAATTTAGCATTACTGAAGATAAGCTAAATTTGTTTTCCAGAAAATTGAGTATTGGTGCTTTTTTAGATGATAATGTTTAAGAGTTCAACATATGCTATAATGGCCTTACCATTGTCTTATAAATCCACTCTGCTCAGGGAGAACACTGTCTTTTCAGTGACTCCATATGGCTCAAGGTATTACATTTGATGTGAATGTCTACATCTTTGTCTCCAGAATTCCACTTCCCAGTGATGCAGAATTTTCTGAATGGTTAGACCATTCCAAATTCATGATACTAGTATAAGTTGGAAAACGGTCATTCTTTAATCCTAATTTTTATTTTTATCAAGGAAAAAGCCAATCCTTCCCTCCCACCCCAATATGAAACATAGGAGTAGTATGTATGGTATGACCCCATTTATTTAAAAAATACTCTCACGTTTCTAGATGCATTAAGAATTTCTGTGATTTCACTTATATGTGGAATCGAAAGAACAATATAAACAAACCAACCAGAAACAGACTCACAGATACAAAGAACAGACTAAGCTGATGGTTGCCAGAGGGAAGGGGTTTGGGAGACTGAGTGGAAAAGGTGAAGGGATTAGAAGTACAAGTTGGTAGTTACAAAATAGTCATGGGGATGTAAAGTACAGCATTGGGAATACAGTCAATAATATTGTGATAACTATGTATAGAACCAGGTGGGTACTGGAAATATCCAGGGGATCACTGTGTAAAGTATATGACTGTCTAACCACTATGCTGCACACCTGAAACGAATACAAAATATTGAATGTAAACTGTAATTGAAAAATAATTTCTGGAAGAATATACAATAAAATGTTAATAGTGGTTAACTCTGAAGTGGGACTAGATGGCATTCTACTTTCTTCCTTTCTTCTTGTGTTTTGTTTTACAAGTGCCTATACCATTTTTATATTTAAAGTAAAATATAAAACTAGTTTACAATATTAAGAGCCCTCTGCAGGGTGAGATTTGTTATTATTTTGCTTGTCTGATTTTATGTGTAATACTTTCGTATTCAAGTAAGTTTTAAGTACTGTATCAGAGTCCAATCACAAGACAGAAACCACACAGTAATTTGAACAGAGAAAGTCACTATGAAGTTATTAACTGTAACAGGATCAAGAGCCCTCTAAGCAGATGCAGGGAGCAGCCTGTAGGCTCTTCACCCTAGCCTGACGGAGCAAAGAAGGAACCCCAGGGCTGGGATACAGACTTTGATGGAGAGGGCACTGCCATGGACAACAGAGAGGTTTGCTGAGGCTGCGGAACTGTAGCCGGAGGAGGTGCAAGCGCTGGGTATTTTGCTGAGAAGGTGCCTTGCAGGTGTACGGGAAAGCCGTTCACGGGGAGCTGCATGCTGCTGGCCACTGGTACTGCTAAAGCCAGGTACTGCATGAAGTGTGCCCAGTTGGCACTGGGTGCTGCAGAACCACAGGGACAAACTAACCAGAAGATCCTCTAGTGCTCACCAGCACCCTCTACTGACCACCTTTACTCTGTGCCTGCTGACAGGAGGTGTATTTATAGGGCTCAGTTCTTCCCTGTATGCCTCTGGCGCCCCTCAAGTTGCTTCCCCTCTGAGCTTAGAGGGAGTGCTTGCGCGGGCCCTTTAAGAGGAGCTGCCTGGGGCTCCAGCCGCCCCAGCTTCCCTGAGCCTCAGTTCCCGCTGGTTTTTCCAGCCAGAAGTTATGGGGATTCTCTTCCGGGCACTGGAACCCTGAGCGGGGTGTCTGGCGTGGGACGGGGACCCCTCAGTCCTCAGGGAGGACCTTCCCAGCCGAGGTGTCCTCCTGATTTTTATCCACCACACTTGGGTGTGGGCCCAGCCCGTCCCCTCCGCCCCTCCTACCAGTCTTGATGCGGCTGCTGCTTTAATTCCGTAGTTGTAGGACTTCCATTCAGCTTGATTTCAGGCGGTTTTGAATGATGGTTGTTCTGTAGTTTAGTTGTAACTTTGATGTGGTTGAGGGAGGACGCGACGTTTACCTACCCGCCATCTTGACCGGAAGTCCTCCACTAGTAGCTTTGATGTGGTCCTTCACTCCCTCCTCAAAACATTTTCTTCACTTGGCTTCCAAGGCTTCCCTACTAATCCATTTAAGAGTTCTATTTCCTTTACTGCTTCTCCTTATATCTGATCTCTAAACATTGGGAATACCTGAGTTCTCCTGACATCTCTATTTAAATGCACTTCCTTGGTTATCTCATTCAGCTGAATAGTTTTAAATTCAACATCTATGCTAACTGCTAAATTTTCATCTCTCGCCTAGATCTCTCCTCTGAACTCTTTACTCATATCCATCCAACTCCTAACTCCTATTAAGGGCATCTCAAATTTCCTGTCCAAACCAACTCCTTATTTCCACCAAAGAACTCTTTTTTTTATCCTCACCCGAGGATATTTTTCCATTTTTTGTTCAGGTAGAGTGGGAGGGAGAGAGAGGAACAGAGAGAGAGAGAGAAACATCGATGTGAAAGGGACACATCGAGTGGCTGCCACCCGCACAACCGACCAGGGCCGGGGACAAACTGCAACCGAGGTACGTGCCCTTAGCGGGAACCGAACCCGGGTCTCTCCGGACCACAGGCCGACGCTCTAACCACTGAGCAAAACTGGCCAGGGCCCAAAGAATTCTTTACTCAGACTTTTCCATCTTGTGAAATTCCAGATTCATTATTCCACTTGCTTAAGAAAAAAACCTTGAGTCATCCTGACTCCTCTCTTTCATACTCCACATGTAAATCCATTCCCAAATCCTGAGCTCCACTTGCAAAATACATGCAGATCCAACCACTACTACCCATTGGTCCTAACTAGTTGGCCTGCTTCTTCTCTTGAAACTTCTATTTTCAACACAGAAGTCAGAAGGCTCTTTGCATAAATCAGATCATGCTACACCTTTCGTTCAAAATCCTCCAATGGATTCCCAGCTCAAAGTAAATGCTGAAGACTTTACAATGGCCTACAAATGACTTGACCTCTCACTACCTCTTACCTCTGTCTCTTTAATCTCTCCTCCTTGCTCAATTCCACTCAGCCACCTGGTTTCTCGGCTGCTTCTTGAATATGCAAAACAGCTCATGTTAGGGCCTTTGCACGTGTCATTTCCTTTGCCTGGCAGGTTCTCCCTCTACTTATGTGAATGGCTCTCATTTCCTTCATATCTCTGCTCTAATGTCACCTCAATGACGAGTTTCCTAAACTTTCTTCTTAGAAAAGATTCCCACTTCCCATCTCACCCTTTCCCTGCAGCCCGAATGACAATCTGCTACCTTATAAAGTTCCCACCACCATAAGCAGGAATTTTCATCTGTCCTGGTCACTGCTGTCTCCCAAGAAACTAGAACAGTGCCTAGCACACAAAGTTAAATAAGATTTGCTGAAATAAATGATTTTCCTGAACCTATGACCACTGTCCAACTGCATAAGGTATTAAGGGAGATAATATCCAAAAATATCTTAGAAAGCAAGTAGGCTGCCTTCATAACTAAATTTCACCTGGCACATAATTAGCCAATTAAAATATGCTCAATATATAAAATATTGTCTGACTGTCATGAAAAGTGGTAAAACTCCACTTACCCTATACTAGAAAGCTTAAGCCATAGAATAACCCATTCTGCAAAGCTTACTTACCACACTGAATATTCATTTATTCAATAAATATATACTGATATGCTAGGCATATCCGGTTTACCCATGCAGAACCTCTGAAAGAAATAGCATTTATCACATTAACCTCTTCTCCTGCAGCTAAATGGACTAGAAAGAATCCCAGGTGCCATGGGCACCAAACCGTAGGCTAAACTGAAACAATATGATCTCCTACCTCTCCTGAGAATTGGAACTGAGAGATACAGATGTAGTCAAGTGGATGATAGAGGGAACTACAAGGTAGCGATGAAGAGAATGGTTTGGGCAACCATGTTAGGCATGTGCATGATGAGCATGTGGAGGAAGCCAGAAGAGAGGGAGGCAGACAGATGAGAGAAGGTACAGGGAGGAAAATGACAATATGACTTTCAAGAAATAATATAGCCTTGGTTCCTGACAGACCAGGTCCAGTCATTGAGATACTCAGCTTCAGCTAGGCTTTGTTTCTTAACCATGGATTATTAGCAACATTGTTTTACAATTGGTTTTATCTTTACAATATTACCCCCTTTACCCTGAGTAGTTTTTTTCTAGACTCTACCTTACCATATATATTCCAAAGAAAAATACTCAAATAGTCAAGATTAAAAAATATTTATCATTTATTTTTAAAGGCATTAGTACAAAGCTTAACATACTTACTAAGAAAGTTACAATATACAAATGTGTTGACATATATTGACTTTTCTGTACTACATGTGACCTTGAACATTTCCATTGTTCAGTTATTCAAACAGGTTATTACCTAGAAATACCTGGCCAATTATTTAAGCACGAGTCACATATGACAAGAGCAAATGTAGATGGTTGTGCCACTCAACCAAGTGCTCATGAAGAAAATGATGAAAACTGTTCACATCGACCAGGGCGCATCAAAATACTCTTCTCCTTGGGAGAGAGCTGCACCTTAATTTGAAAGAAAAAAGTCTAGATATAATTATGAAACTTAAAAACCTATTATCTTATAAAAATCATAAAGAAGATAGAATATGGAAAGCAATACACTCATCAAGGTAAGTAAAGCTAGAATAAAAATCTGCTAATATGCTTAATGTAATACTAATTTCTATCTTTATGGAATAGTTAAATAGACAAATTAATTGCGAAATTCATTTGAAAGAGTAAATGGGCAAGTATATTGTTGAATTTCAGGAGCACTGGTATTTGATGTCTTATATTACAAAACAATGATCAAAACTGTGTTATTAAAAACAACAGTGATTATAATACAAACATTCTCCAACTACAATAAAACTAAAAATTATTCCTATCTAGAGATTAAAACATTTATTACACATTTCTAGAGTTTGAAACAAATCCAAAACTTTTGGAATATCTAGAAAATTACAAGAATTCTACATAGCAGAATCTACAGAATACAACTAAAGCACTGTTCAGAGGAAAAATCATGGTCTTAAAATAGCCTTTTTAATAAATAATAGATAAGAAGGACTTTAAAACAAACTTATTTAAAAAGTAGAAAGAAGAGCCATGGCCGGTGTGGCTCAGAACCATGTTTTATGTATGTTTCTGTTGAAAGACACGTTATTTAAAATATATAGTTGAACCCTGGCTGGTGTGGCTCAGTTGGCTGAGCACTGTCCCATGCACAGAGTGGTCATCAGTTCGATTCCTGATCAGGACACATGCCCAGGTTGTGGGCTTGATCCCCAAGTGCAGGAGGCAGCCCACTGATGTTTCTCTCTCATTGATGTTTCTCCCTCTCCCTTCCTCTTTCTCTAAAATCAATAAAAACATATTTTATGTATATGTATAGTTGATTCATTAACACTAAACTCACAGCCAACAGCACTATAACTTATGCCTGAATGAAGCTTATCTAACGTGTATTTTCTCTGCAAGGCACATCACAGCCTTCTTGCACTTGGGAACACTAGCCTCAATAGCACTTTAGCATAATGCTTGAGGGCCATTTTAAAGAGCAAAATCAATAGGTACAAAAATGTAGCACTAAGATTGTGAAAAGGACACTTGTTTATAGTATGAGAGCTGAAACAAGAAACAGCATTGCTCAACCTCAGCTGAGAACATGTGTGTCAGGTGACTCAAAATTTTCACCTTTCTGCACATGTGCATGAACGACAGTGAAAGTGCCATGGATACTGATCCTGGGGTTACAGATACGTTTTAGCAAGTAGGCAAATTTACAAATATAGAATCTATGAATAAGGAGGATCTACAGTATATAAAATTTTATAAGCAAAAATTTAAGAGAGTAAACACAAATATCTAAAATGATAATGGGAAAATAGCCATATAGATACAGGAAAAAAATGAAAACAATAGAAACATTAGAAGAAAACCCAAAATCCATAAGAAAGAAATGAATCTCACTATATGAAAATAAAGTAATATGACTACATAAAAAGCAAACATTTCTGTCAAAATGACAACTGCTATCACTATAAGCAAGGTTAAATGAAATGATAACCTAGAAAAAAAATGTATGTAGAACTCATACCACAAAGGAATGGTTACCATAACAAAGATTTCTTGCAAATCAAAAAGAAAAACATATCAAAGCTGAAAAGTGGGTAAATGTGATGTTCTTAAAGTTTTCAGAGAAGACAAGACACATGGCTCTTAAAAAGCAAAACTTCAGCCCTGGCCGGTTTGGCTCAGAGGTTGGAGCGTCGGCCTGCGGTACAGAGACCCGGGTTCGGTTCCCGCTAAGAGCACGTACCTCGGTTGCAGTTTGTCCCCAGCCCTGGCTGGTCGTGCGGGTGGCAGCCACTCGATGTGTCCCTTCACGTCGATGTTTCTCTCTCTCTCTCTCTCTCTCTTCCTCTCTATCTGAACAAAAAATGGAAAAATGTCCTCGGGTGAGGATAAAAAAAAAAAAAGCAAAACTTCACAATAAAATAATTATAAATACAATGAGACAATCATTTTCAACTATTAGATTGACAAAGACCCAAAGGTTTGACAAACTATTGGCTGTGGGAAACAGGAACTCGCAAACAATGTTGGTGGGGATATAAGTTAATACTGAGAGCAATTTAACAAAAATCTATTAAAATTATGAATGTATATCCTCTTCAATCCAGCAGTACCAATTCTAGACTGGAAGTCTAGATTGTAATTCGATTTAGATAATCCTAGAGATGTATTCATATATCTACAAAAAGAATTATGTGGGGATGGATGAGACGAACCAAAGAACTTATATGCATGTATGCATAACCAATGAACATAGACAACAATGCTGGGGGGTGGGGAGTGGGAAGGAGGGTATCTAGGGGGGAAAAAGGAGAAATATCTGTAACAAAAATAAATTAATAAAAATTGGAAAAAAAAGAATTATGTAAAAGAATACTGACTGTAGTATTAAATAGCAAATGATTGAAAACAGCCTAAACCTCCATCCATAAGAGCTCAATTAAGTATGATATACATCTATACACGAGAATATCCTTCAGCTGTTTAAAACAAGAGTTTTATATACCGATATGGTGTGTGTGTGTATGTATATGTGTATGTGTATGTATGTATATATGTATGTGTGTGTGTGTGTATATCAATACAAAGAAGAAATGAAAAAAAAGCACTTACCTGTTAAACAATACTGTATGAATTACCTATAAAAACAAAAATTAAAAGAATAATGATGACTGATACAGCTTATCAGATTTAAGTACATTCTTTTTAATTTTCAATAAATGTACACAGCACAAAACTAGAAAAAATACAAAAGGGTATACTATGAAGTCTCCCTCACATGCCTCTGTATTCTAGTCCCTCTTTAGAGGTAACTTGAGCATCACCCTGAGATGAATACCAAGGTGTATACATGTATGTAAATATATATTTACACAAATAGCAGGTAGCATAATACACATAGTTCTGTGTCTTATTTTCATTTTAATATAGTTTCCTGTCAGATTACTATATATAACAAGCAACAAAAATGTAGTTTAAAAAAATTACAAGAATAAATTGAATTATTAGTTCAAAATTTAAACCTTTCATTTTATAAAAGAGAATAACAATGAAGAATAATCCTTATATTATACCAAGTAGATACTCTTACAATTAAGTATGAAGAATGAGGGCATTATTAACTAGTTTCTTCTTTTGGGGAAGCAATATGACAACACATTATGATCTACAAAACTATGCAGAATTTGAAGCCCGATGTATAAAATTAATCAAGACACAAAAATAATTCTATGGAACTATGTTAAACAAAAAAGCTGAAAATAAGTTACTGCCATATAGAAATATTATATTATCAAGTATGTGACATATTCACTTTACATACTTGAGAGGTATAAAGTATAATATTGTTTAGTACATATTGTTTTAACCATCACAATACAAGAGACCAGCAATTTTCAACCAACATGCTGTAAGAATTTTTAAAACATACAATACCTGACTATTTAGTCAGGGACACTGACCTCTTTTCCCTTTAATTATCAAATTAAAAAATGACAACAGCCAGCTGGTGTGGCTCAGTGGTTGAGCGTCGACCCATCCACCAAGAGCACTGGTTCAATTCCAGGTCAGGGCATATGCCCAGGTTGTGGGCCCAATCCCCAATGGGGGCATGCAGGAGGCGGCCAATCTATGTTCTTTCTCATCGATGTTTCTCTCTCTCTCCCTTTCTCTCTCTTTAAAATCAATAAAAGAAAAAACAATTTTTTTAATTAAAAAAAAAATGACAACAGCCCTGGCCAGTTTGGCTCAGTGGTTAAAGCGTCAGCACACCAACTAGAGAGTCGCGGGTTCGATTCCGACAAGGGCACATACCTTGGCTGTGGTTCAGTCTCCAGCCCTGGTCAGGGTTGTGCAGGAAGTAAACCAATTGATGTGTCTCTCTCACATCGATGTTTCTCTCTCTCTCCCTCCCACTGTCTGAAAATGAATGGAAAAATATCCTTGGGTGAGGATTGAAAAAAAACAAAAAACAGCCAACATAATAGCCATCCAGTATGAATGAATAAAAATTATGACTTTTTTGTTTGTTAGATTGGCAAAAAATATATTCTTCAGTATGCCGCAGAATTTTATTCAAAACATTTTTTAATTTAATTAATTGATTTTAATCCTCACCTGAGGACCTTTTTTCCATTGATTTTTAGATAGAGTGGGAGGGAGGGAGGGAGAGAGAAAGAGAAACATTGATGTGAGAGAGACATCAATTTGTTGCCTCCTACATTGCCCCAACTGGGGCTGTGGATCAAACCTCCAAGCCAGGCACATGCTCTTGACAGGGAATCAAACCTGTGATCCTTCTGTCTACAGGCTGACACTCTAACTGCTGAGCCAAACAGGCCAGGGCAGTTTGCCAAAAAATTTTAGTAACTAGTTTAATGTGTGCCATAAGATGAAAAAGGTTGAAAATCATTGTAACAGACTAATGTTGTCCTGGCCCATTTGGCTCAGTGGTTAGTGTTGGCCCACAGACCAAAGAGCTGCCGGTTAGAATTCCAGTCGAGGGCATGTACCTGGGTTGCAGGTTTGATGCCAGCCCCATTGATCAGGGTCAGGTGGGAGGCAGCCAATCGGTGTGTCTCTCTCACATCAATGTTTCTCTCTCTCTCTTTCTAAAATCAATAAAAACATATTTTAAAAAGATTAAGTGAAATAACTATACTTAGCACATACAACAGTCACAAAAAAATAGCTATTATTAAAGAAAAGAAAAATTTCATGTGGCAGTTTCTAGCTTCCTTTACAAAAACGTAAACTAACAGATACCTGTCTGCTGAAACCAAGATTTATAAAATAAGACTTTTTTTACTCTTAACCAGAAGTCTTTATGTAAACACAGAGACTCTAACGCTCAGGTACAATGCTTCACCTCTGTCTTCTGCCTGGAAACCAAGAGCTGGTTTCACTTAAAATGAAATATATAGCTCAACTCACAATTATATGCCATTTTAAAACGTGAAACGTCAATTTGTGTCACAATAACTAGTAATTAAAAAAATCAGAATTTCAAACTTCAAAAATTAATTTCTCCAAAACCTATTCCAATTATCTTACTTGATATCTTTAAAAATGTTACATATTTCCTTACAATTAACTTTCAAGACCATTCATGTACTTGCAGGATTTGTTATCAAGAAAAGTCTTCTTTAAAACTACCAAGAAATAGGACTGATGTCTAATCTTTCATGACGGGTGAAAGATTTGATCTGAAAATAACTCTGAAATCTCTCTTCCATTTATCATTTTCTCTCTTCTTTTACATTCCCTCCATTCTATGCTATAAACAAAAAACTGCCAGATACTATAGACATGAACAATAAGCTGTACCGCCTTGCCTCTAATGACACAGAAAAGACAAATAGACTATAAACAATAAGGATAACGTAAAGAGAAAAGATATGAAACAATAAGGATAACGTAAAGAGAAAAGATATGAAAAGAGAAAAGAAAGAAATAAGTAGAGAACAAATTCAAAGAGGGAAAATTACATGAATGGGGGGATAAGAAGGCCGAATGGCATTAGGAATAGTGATTTGACATATGAACCATCTCAGTACTTGAAACATACAATGCTTCGGGTTTTGTATACTCTGTCTAGAAGACTTTAACACATTTCATCTTCTGCCCAATTTTTCTCTTCAGCTTTTTAGACTTGGCTGAATAACCTAGCTGAAGAAAAACTTTAATTGAATGAAAATGACTTTAATCAAAGAATGAAATATAGGTAATTATACTTTCTTTTAAAAAATATTGTTTTTCTTGTTGACATTATTATAGATATTTCCCCCTAAGCAATTACACTTTCAAATGCGATTTATGTAATTAAAAAAAATATCTTTCCCAGAAATGCATCTCCCATTTTGAAAATCAAAAGGAAAATGTTTTTTAAAATTTGCTTTTCATGCCCTAGCTGGTTTGGCTCAGTGGTTAGAGCGTCGGCCTGTGGTCCAGAGAGACCCAGGTTTGGTTCCTGCTAAGGGCATGTACCTCGGTTGCAGTTTGTTCCTGGCCCCGGTTGAGTCGTGCGGGTGGCAACCACTTGATGTGTCCCTTTCACATCGATGTTTCTCTTTGTCTCTCTCTCTCTACCACTCTATCTGAACAAAAAATGAAAAAATGTCCTCAGGTGAGGATAAAAATAATAATAATTTGCTTTTCAAGGCAACATGGAAACATCTACCAAAATCATAATAACATCCACAATATTTTAAATAGTCACAACACAGGAGTTTAACTTAAGGCTATGACAGAATAGAATCAAATCACTACATATAAGGAGGCATTTACTGTAACGTCATCCAAAATGCCAAAAACTACTAAACTAAAGGAACAGTGGCATAATATACTGGCAATCTGACAGAGAGAATATGTAAAAGCATTAAAAATGTGATGTTTGCCTTGACCTGGTAGTGCAGCTGGTTAGAGCATCATCCCAAGGTTGTGGGTTTGATCCCCGGTCAGGGCACACATATAAGAATCAACTAATGAATGCATAAATGTGTGGAACAACAAATCAATGTTTCTCTTTCGCTAAAATAAATGAAAAAAAATTTTTAATGTGACGTTAAGTGGGGGCGCGCGTGCACACACACACACACTATAATGGCATCCATATCAAAATATAGATAGATATGGCCCTGGCCGGTTTGGCTCAGCGGTTAGAGTGTCGGCCTGCGGTACAGAGAGACCCGGGTTCGGTTCCCACTAAGGGCATGTACCTCGGTTGCAGTTTGTCCCCGGCCCTGGTTGGTCGTGCGGGTGGCAGCCACTCGATGTGTCCCTTTCACATCGATGTTTCTCTCTCTCTTCCTCTCTCTCCCTCCTGCTCTATCTGAATAAAAAATGGAAAAATGTCCTCAGGTGAGGATAAAAAAAAATATATATATATATAGATAGATATGGATCAAAAATGAAAAGTATTATGTGAAAAAAAACAATAGACACATAGCTTTTACTAATTTAGTTTAAAAATATTGAAAATATTTTTATTATGTACTTTTCAAACATACAGAAAATAGAAAAAACAGTACAATGAACATCCATAAACACACTTATTCAATAATAGCCATATATGCTTCATGCACACACATACACGTTTTGCTAAATCATCTACAAATATATTAAGACATTATAATACTTCACTTCTAAATACTTTAGTATACAAATTTAAAAACACATTCTTCTATAAACTACAATACCCTTATCACACCTCATAAAATTAGCTATAATCGCCCAGCTGGTGTGGCTCAGAGGATTGAGTGTCGTCCCATGGACTGAGAGGTCCCCGTTTGACTCCCAGCTGGGAGCGTGCAGGAGGAGGCAGCCAATTGATGTTTCTCTCTCACATCAATGTTTCTATCTCTCTTTTGTCCTTCCTCTCTCTCTAAAAAAATCAATGAAAACAAATGTTTAAAATTGGCCATAATTATCTAATACCATTTAAAATCCAGTCCATATTAAAATTTCCTTAATCCACAAGTCTTTTTAAACCAGGGTCCAATCAAGGACACCACACTGTATTTGGCTGTTGTCTTTTAAGTCAGTTTTAAACCAGAATAATTCCCCACTTCATGACATTTTTTCCTCCATGACACTGACTTTCTGAAGAAATAAGGCCCATTATCTTCTACAACACTCCACATTGTGGACCTGTCTGATCATTTCTTTGTGCTGTCATTTACCTTGTTGCTCCTGTCCCAGTCCTTCTGGTAAATGGGAAAGTAGATTGCAAAGGCCTGATTAAATTCTGGCTGCACTCCTTTGACCAGAACACTTCATAGGTCACAATGTATTTCATGTTGCCTCACAAGTCAAAAGGCACATCAGGCTGTCTGACCACAATGATGCAGTTTCATCACTGATTCTAAAAATCTCTTTATTAAAAAGTATATTTTTCGGACTTCCGGTCAAGATGGTGGTGTAGGTAAACGCAGTATTGCGTCCTCCCACAACCACATCAAAGTTACAACGAAACTACAGAACAACCATCATTCAAAACCACCTGAAATCAAGCTGAATGGAAGTCCTACAACTACGGAATTGAAGCAGCAGCCGCATTGAGACTGGTAGAAGGGGCGGAGGCTGGCGGGCTGGTCCCACACCCACGTGTGGCGGATAAAAATCAGGAGGACACCTCGGCTGGGAAGGTCCTCCCTGAGGACTGAGGGGTCCCCGTCCCACGCCAGACACCCCGCTCAGGGTTCCAGTGCCCAGAAGAGAATCCCCATAACTTCTGGCTGGAAAAACCAGCAGGAACTGAGGCTCAGGGAGGCTGGGGCGGCTGGAGCCCCAGGCAGCTCCTTAAAGGGCCCGCGCATGGACTTATCAAACTCGCTCCCGCTAAGCTTGGAGGGGAGGCAGCTCGAGGGGCACCAGAGACATACAGGGAAGAACTGAGCTGTTTGGCACTGGAGCGAAGGCAGGAGAGGAGGCTTTCTCCGGGACAAACGTGCTGTCAGAGGCCTTTGTTCCTTTGGTGAGCCCTTCCCTGGGGTGGCAGACAGCCACCATATCTGGGACTCCAGCAACCTGGCTCACACTGGTAGCCCCGCCCTGGTGATTCCCTGAGGCCCCGCCCCACCCAAGCTGTTGGCACTTGCTTAATCATTGGATTGGCCTGTCTTGGATCCTACTTCAGGTTTTCCTAAATTCTTTCAAACAAGCATCAGGTCTCAGATAGCCCCATACCTCTCGTTAAGTAATACACAGAAACAAACACAGAGAGGCAACCAAAATGAGGAGACAAAGAAACAGGTCCCAAATGAAAGAACAGAACAAAACCCCAAGAAAAGTGTCCGACAGCCTGGGAACTGGTGCTAGGCAAACTGCTCGACCATTGTTTTGCTTGCTCAGCCTTGCCTCCCACCTTGTTCCAGGAACAGCCTGCCCCGAGCTTGTAGACTAACTCCCATCCTGCTCTTATCGACTCACATTCCAGAGGCTCCCATGCATAGCCCTAACAGACAAATCTCAGCTGCAACGGGCAGATATAAAAAAGCACAAACCCCAGCATCGGGCGCGGCTTCTAGGACTCGACCCCCAGAGTCTGTGAACCCGCCCGGAGTGTACCCAATAAAGCCTGATCCCTGTTTATTCGGCTGATTGGCTCTCCAGTCTCTTCTCTGTTTTTCGGCGGCGCCCCGACTCCTTACAAAAAGAATTAAGCGAAATGGAGGTAAGCAACCTAACAGATGCTGAGTTCAAAATACTGCTTATAAGGATGCTCAATGAACTTAGTGAGGGCCTCAAGAGCATAAAAAAGGACCAGTCATAAATGATGGATGTACAGTCAGAAATGAAGGAGGCATTAACTGAAATAAAGAATGATTTGCACAGATTCAATAGTAGAGTACGTAAATCCAAGAAGCAAACCATCGATTTGGAATATAAGGAAGCAAAAAACACCCAATCAGAACAGCAAAAAGAAAAAAGAATCCCAAAAAATGAGGATAGTGGAAGGAGCCTCTGGGACAACTTCAAGCGTGCCAACATTCGCATCTTGGGGGTGCCAGAAGGAGAAGAGAGAGAACAAGAAATCGAAAACCTGTTTGAAACAATAATGGCAGAAAACTTTCCTAACTTGGTGAAGGAAACAGGCATACAAGTCCAGGAAGCACAGAGAGTCCCAAACAAGATGAACCCCAAGAGGCCCACACCAAGACACATCATCATCAAAATGCAAAAGGTTCAAGACAAAGAGACAATCTTAAAAGCAGCAAGAGAAAAGCAGTTAGTTACCTACAAGGGGATTCCCATAAGGCTGTCAGCTGATTTATCAAAAGAAACTTTGTAGGCCGGAAGGGAGTGGCAAGAAATATTCAGTGATGAAAAGCAAGAACCTGCAACCAAGATTACTCTATCTTACAAAGTTGTCATTTAGAATCGATGGCCATATAAAGACTTTCCCAGACAAGAAAAAGTTAAAGAAGTTCATCACCACCAAAGCGTTATTATATGAAATGATGAAGGGTCTTTTTGAAGAAAAAGTTAAAATATATGAACAAACAAAATGGCAATGAATACATATCTATCGACAGTGGAATCTACAAACAAAATGAACAGGCAGAACAGAAACGTTCTCATAGATACAGAGAACATTTTGTTGGTTGCCAGATGGGAGAGGGGCTGGGGGAATGGGTGAAAAAGATGAAGGGATTAAGAAGTACAAATTCATTGCGAGACTGACAAACCTCAAAGGGAAAGGGGTTGGAGGTGGACAGAAATAAACCAAAGAACTTATTTGCATAACCAATGGACACAGACAATAGTGTGGGAAAAGGCGGGAGGAGGGCGGGAGTGGGGAGGAGGGGGTCAATGGGGGGAAAATGAGGAACATCTGTAATACGTTCAACAATAAAGATTAAAAATAAATTTAAAAAAATAAAAATAAAAATAAAGTATGTTTTTCACCTTGCCGGTGTGGTTCAGTGGTTGAATGTCGACCCATGCACCAAGAGGTCACTGGTTTGATTCCTGGTCAGGACACATACCCAGGTTGTGGGCCCAATCCCCAGTGGGGGGCATGCAGGAGGCAGCCAATCAATGTTCTCTCTCATCAGTATTTTTCTCTCTTTCTCCCTCTCCCTTCCTCTCTCTTTATCTAAACTCAATAAGGAAAAAAGAAAGTATGCTTTTCTTTCCACACCACTAACCAAGAAGTATTTGATAAGATGATACCTTGATATCATGAGAATTCTAGAGGGGATATAGATAAACATTTTATCAAGTAGTTTTGGCATCAAATTGTCTTTAATATTGTTTTATATTAACTTTTCTACTTTTTTTCATAAATTTTTTATTTTTTTATTTTTTTACAGATAGAGTGGGAGGGAGAGAGAGGAAGAGAGAGAGAGAGAGAAACATCGACGCGAAAGGGACACATCGAGTGGCTGCCACCCGCACGACCAACCAGGGCCAGGGACAAACTGCAACCGAGGTACATGCCCTTAGCGGGAACCGAACCCGGGTCTCTCCGGACCGCAGGCCGATGCTCTAACCGCTGAGCCAAACCGGCCAGGGCAACTTTTCTACTTTTTAACATTTCATTTTTTAAAATATGCTTTCCATAAACTATAGAATTTATATAAAAAATTCACTTCTATAATAATGGCATACTTACTCCTTAATTAAAATGTGAGCACTTTCCTTCTTTTTGATTTTGTTTGAAACCCTATAAGGAAAATAAAGAAATTTAAAAGAATAGCATACAGATATGAATAAACATTTTATTTCACATAAGACATTTTACTGATTTTATTTTCCAGATATCATTGGAAAATATTATAGTCTTCCAATGGAAAATATTATAGTCTTCCAAAAATGTTATTCTTTTTTTAGAGTGAGGAAGAGAGAGAGAGAGAAACATCAATGTGAGAGAAACATCAACTGGCTGCCTCCTGTGCGCCCCCCACCAGTGATCAAGCCCACAACCCAGGGATGTGCCTTGACCAGGAAGATTGGGAAAAATGGGATATGCTTGTGTGTTGGGGTTTCTTTTCATTTTTTTGGGGTGAGAGCTAGGTAATAAAATACTCTAAAAGTGAGTGTAGTGATGGCTATGTAATTATAAATATACTAAAAATCAAAATCATTGACAGGTACACTTTAAAAGAGTAAAATATGTATACCATGTGAATTATATCTCAATAAAACTCACTTATTTTTTAAAAATTCATAGCAACATTATTTTTAATAGCCCCAAATTAAAAAAAAAACCCAAATGTCCATTAATGGTAAAAACAAAATAACAGATTATGGTATAATCATACGGTAGAATGCAATACAGCCACAACTACACAAAACAGTGTTGATTAACCTCATGAAGTGTTGAGCAAAGTGTTACCCTTGGGAAAGGGACTGGAAATGACTAGAAGGAGACATAAGGAGTTTTGGGATTATGATAATGTTTTTTTTCTTGATACTGGTGTTGATTACACAGATGTTATCACTTTGTAAAAATCATCAAGCTGTCCACTTCTTTGTGCATTTTTCTACATGCTTATTTCAATTAAAAGTTTACATTAAGAACAACTACTTCCCGGCCAGTATAGCTCAGTGGACTGAGTGTTGTTCCATGGACTGAGAGGTCCTGGTTAGGGGCATATGTCCGGGTTTCAGGCTCGATCCCCAGTAGGGGCCATGCAGGAGGCACCTGGAATGATGTTTCTCTCTCACAATGATGTTTCTCTCTCTCTCTCCCTTCTTCTCTAAAAAAATCAATAAAAACATATTTAAAACAACTATCAGAAAACCATAAGCCTATACATAATATGAACCTGGAAATAAATCAAAATACACTGAACCTGGCTAACAGATCTAAGGATGAATCCCACCCCTATCTTTCTCAGTCTAAAAAATTAAAAAATAAACTATTCCAAAACTATATAAATTACACATATTAAATTTCAAAATATTTCATAATCTAAAAAAACATGCAGAGAAATTTACAGTTCAAAAGGAAGCTTAGAAAGTCAGATAACTGATCTCAAAATAATTATAAACTGTTTGTAGAGTCATTATCTTTTTGGACATTAAAAGGGGAACTTCAGCCCAGCCAGTGTGGTTCAGTAGTTCAGTGGAGTGTCGATCCATGGACTAAGAGGTCATCGGTTTGATTCCCGGGCAGGGCACATGCCCAGGCTGCATGCTCCGATTCCCAGTAGGGGGTGTGCAGGAGGCAGCCAATCAATATTTCTCTCTCACTGATGATTCTATCTCTTGGTCCCTCTCCCTTTCTCTCTGAAAACCAATAAACACATATTTAAAAATAGTGGGGGTGAGGGGGCTTCAGGACTGGACAGTTTGGCTCAGCAGTTAGAGTGTCAGCCTGCAGACCGAAGGGTCGGGGGTTCGATTCCCAGTCAAGGGCTTGTAACTGGGTTGCAGGTTTGATCCCTGGCCTCAGTCAGAGTTGTGCAGAAAGCAACCATTCGATGTCTCTCTCACATCAATGTTTCTTTCTCTCTCCCCGCCCTCCCATTCTATCTAGAAATCAATGGAAAAATATCCTCAGGTGAGGATTAATCACAACAACAAAAGAAAATGTGTAACCAAAATAAACATGAAAGATATTTAATTGGCCCCGGCCGGTTTGGCTTGACTGTTAGAGCGTCAACCTGCGGACCAGTGAGTCGTGGGTTCAATTCCAGTCAAGGGCGTGTACCTTGGTTGCAGTTCATCCCGGCCCTGTCGGGTCATGTGGGAGGCAACCAGTCAATGTGGCTCTATCACATCGATGTTTCTCTCTGTCTCTCCCTCCCTCCCTCCTACTCTATCTGATGATAAATAGAAAAGTATCCTCAGGTGAGGGATAAAAAAAAAATTGTTTAATTGGACTACAATTACACTTAGTGGGGACAACAGAAGAGTGATTAAATCCTTAGACATATAGTTGTATTTTGTATTTTTTTAAACTTTAAGTTAGTTTTTTTTTTTTGGTACATGCCCCTAGTGGGAACCGAACCCAGGACTCTCTGGTCCGCAGGCCGACGCTCTAACCGCTGAGCCAAACTGGCCAGGGCTTTAAGGTAGTTTTAAACCCGTAGGATCTGGCCAACATAACAAATCACTTTTTTAGTCACAAACACAACAAAGTCACATAACCACGAAGTGTTGGGAAAAGATGCTAAATGATCACTTACCATATAGTAACCAGTGTGATAGCCACTCATGTACCAAGAGATCAACATACTCCCCAAAGCATCAGCATCATCAAGAGAATCTGGGCATATGGGAGGTGGTGGGGGAATTACCTGGAAATAAAGAAAAATATACTTTAAAGTCAGTAAACAGAAGTGTGAAGCCTGGAGATCAATCTCATGGAGACAATGCTGGATGTTAACTGTATCTTTCTCTATATTCCATGTTATCTATTTAAAATTTTTTTAAAAATCTGACATTTAGAGAAAGCCAACCAGTAACAATAAAAGACCAATAAAATTAAATTGAACAACTATCAAAAGACAATAGGTCACATAAAAAGTTTAAACATTTTGCTTTGATTAGAACTATGTTTCTGTCCCATTATGAAACTATGGATGAAAGACCAAGCATAAATACTCTTGACGGTTTTTCTTAAAAAACACCCAAACAGCATTTTGAATAAAGGTTTTAGATGAATATCTGTACTGCCCCCAGATAACCACACACAGTTGGCCAAAACATGTCTTTATATCCAGGCTATTGTTGTTATCTAAAAGTCTATCATTACATATCTTGGTAGTCCACATGATCACAAGCTAACATTCAAGCACACCTGGAAAGGCAAAATATAAATCCTATAATTAAATCCTTTCAAAGAGGAACTACCTCTCTAAAGAATAAAATACAATTTCTTCCATGAAGGAAGCAGGCAATATAGGGTTAAGGGTTGGGGCAATAAGAGGAATGAGTCTGGTAGAGAAGAGCATTAAAAATGTAAAAACCTGCCCTGGCCAGGTGGCTCGGTTGATTGGAGCAAGCGTTGTCCCGTACACCAAAAGAAAAGGTTGTGGGTTTGATTCTTGGGTAGGGCACATACCTAGGTTGCAGGTTCCATCCCTGGACAGAGTGTGTACAGGAGGCAACAGATGAATATTTCTCTTTCACATGGATGTTTCTCACCAAAAATGACTAAACATATTCTCAGGTGAGGATTATAAACAACCCCAAAGTTTAATTAAAATTTTTACCTATTAGAACCTGGCTGTAGGGGTGGTTTACAATGACATTTCCTGCCTGGCTGGTGTCTCAGTGGTTGAGTGTCAACCCATGCACCAGGAGGTTGCCAGTTTGATTCCTGGTCAGGGCACATGCCCAGGTTGTGGGCCCGATCCCCAGTAGGGGGATGTGCAGGATGTGGCCAATTGATGTTCTCTCTCATTAATGTTTCTATCTCTCTCTCCCTCTCCCTTCCTTTCTCTCTAAAAATCAATAAAGAAAAAAACAAAAAGATAATTTATAATCACCTATGTTCTGCTAAATCCAAAACTATGTATGAAAGCAAAGTTTAATGTGAATCCTTTTGTACTTACTGGTGGTCCAGAAGGAAACGGAGGCAGCCAGCATGATAGGAAGGGGGGTGGTGGTGGTGGTGGTGGTGGTGGTGGTGGTGGGCCATTAAATTTTAGACCTGGCTGTCAAAAGTATTTGAAAGGAAGATTAATTTACCAATTTCAATATGAAAAGAGGAAAAAAACATTTAATGTCAAAAGAATTTAAATAACAAATAAAAAAGAAGAAACAGAATTGTATGTACCAAATACTGAAGTCAAATAGACTCACAAATTTAGATTTTTCTCATTTCCTTTCTATATACATTCAGGGAGTGAAATCAAAAGTACAAAAAAATTTTGATTAGTCAACAAATCAGGAGATAGTGTATTTAGCAAGATATTTTAATCATAAAACACTATATATCCAACAATTTCATTACCTAGATTGTCTAATCTTTTTATTAACACCCTTTTAGTAGTTACATATGCTAATTTAGAGCACACACTGTAAAAAATAGTAAACTTCTCACTTAACAAGAAAAATCAGCCCAAGACCAAAGAAGGATGATACACACATAGACAGACAGACACACACACATAAATTAAGAGGCTTGATCATTCTAGAAACTGTAATATAATGTAAACCTCAAGAAGGATCTCACAGAAAACGTTAATGAGAAGTTTTAATAAGTCATGCTAGATATTTTTATTTTTAAAAAATTATTATTTCCTGAATACCATAACCTCCAGGAATTATACAAAACTAGACCGGGATACACCTCCTTGATATAACCTAAAATATAAATCTTTTTAAAGTTAATTTGTTACTTATAACCAAAAGAAACATAAAGGAATACAATATTTATATTTACTCTAAAACAATCTGGGAGCTCCTTAGGATGTTACCTGTATTAGATGTAAATACTGTATTTTCTTCCAATTTTTATATATCTTACACAAGTGACTTGGGGAACTATCAGAATAGTCAGCTGATAAAATATCATACTTTTTAACTTACATTCACTTCAGTATTAGTCTAATATACTCCATAAAAGCAGATGGATAAGCCTTCCATTATAAACTATTCTGCATTACTATCATATTTCTTTTCTGAAGAATTCTCAAGTATGTATTTATACCACCTACAGAAAGCTACCAAAGTTTCACTGGAAAATCTACAATTCTCTTAATGGAAGGTTTGAATATTTGTTGACTGTTTCAATATTATTAACTATTTCCTGGGAAACATTTTCTGTGTAAAAGTTACCTTTCCCGGTCCCATTCCTGATCTTGGCATGGGGGGTGGTGGAGGGAGAAAGTAGTTCCATGGAGCAGTTCTTGACTTGATGTTATTTGGTTTATTTCCAGGAGACCTGGAAGAGTTCTCACTTTCATCTGTTGAAATTTGACTCTCATTTTCATTCTTTCAAAAGAAAAAATATATGTATTATTATATAGGTGTCATTAAGAAAAATTTAATGCCTCATAGTCCAAACTGACAACGAGTTATACCATGTAGTTTCTCATCTCTGCTTATAAGAATTCTATTTTTTGTATTCTTACCTCCTGAGCACTCTGTTCTATATTATTAGCTACTTCAGACACTGGAGAAAGTAGATCAGACATATTTTGCTCCTCTCTATTTCCATATCCAGTATAAACCACAACACAGGTTTCTCTCTTAAAATCAATTGAAGCAATGGTAGCTGGGTAAATGCAGCCGTCTTCTGACCAAATGGCAGAACATTTGTCACCAACTTTCCACTAAAAAAAAAAGAAAAGATACATACACACGTTTCTTTTAAAGAGGATAAACTATTATCTTGCTTGGGTGGGATAGGGTGGGGGGTGGAGGGGATAGTCTCCAGTTAACTGATCAGGAAGGCAGAATGAAACAGTGAAAAAGACTTGGGGCCCCAAACACATAAATGTGGATTCCAAAATAAATATTATGTAATCCTGTCATATAATGTAAATTCTGCCATTTTTATAACCACGGACAAGTTTTTTAATCTCTTTGAGTCTTATTTTCCTCTTAAATGGACATAATACAATCTACCTCACCTCATTTACTTGTTGTGTGGAAAGGAGGTAATGTGTGAAGTGCCCAGCACCTCTGGCCTGGCATACAATGCTTAAAAATTGTCAGTTCTCTTCCCCCTTGGTAATGATGAAACTAAAGCGACTAATGAGACACCAAAAAAAAATAGGATATCTAGCTCTCAATTAAAAAGTAAAACACTTGGGGAAGGGGACATGTGGGGGAGGGAAAAGATAAACCACAAAACTTATATGCATGCATGCATGCAAAAATAAAAATAAAAAGCAAAACACTGCCAATTCAGTTTAAGGCCCCCAGACACTCTTCCCAACTAGCATTCCTCTGTCTCCCTCCCACATACAGTGAACATTGTCCTGAATTCAGTATTAGTCAATCCCACCTAATTCCGTATACTTTTATTGACATGCATGTTTCTACATAATAGAAAGTTTTAACAGTTTTAAAATGTTATTACATTTCAATGAAAAACACTGTACTAATCATTTAAGTTAAAGATATATATATATTTTTAAGTTAAAGATATTTTATACTATTTAATAAGAACAGTATGAAGAAAATCTTTGAAGTTAAATCTCAATGTTTTAAAATAACCTGTTTCATTTTCAAGGGAGTTGTGGCATTCTTTTTTTGGCTTTTATTCTTTTTAGCAGGTTTTCTTTTAGGTGTGCCTTTTGGTTTGTTTGAAGCTTCAGAAATGTCACCATTCTTTAGCGCGTGCTATGAAAATATGAATAGAAATATACATGTTACAGAATGATTCAGAAAAAGTTACAATATAATTCAGTCATTATAAGCTGATCTCAAGGCCCTACCACCTCTACTTCTTTTTACCATCCTACATGCTACAGAAACTGTTTATGTATCTACAGCTCTAAAGACCCTTTTATTGTAAAAAGGCTATTTTGGAGAACAGAGGCCCCCAACACACAGCCCTTGCTGAGTTCATAGCAGAAGTCAGCACTAACCGTGTGAGTGAATAAACTATCATCATGAAAGTACATCCCTCACCCTCAAAGTGAGCCACCCCAGCTGCCATGTGAACAGAGATGATCTTTAACTGTTAAGATACATGAACAACCCTGGTGGGTAGCTCAGTTGGTTAGTGTCATCCCAATGCACCAAGGTTGTGGGTTCGATCCCCAGTCAGAGTACATACAAGAAGCAACCAATAAATGTATTAAGTGGAGCAACAGATTGATGCTTCTCTCTCTCTAAAAATCAATAAATTAAAAAAAAAAAGATTCATGAACACAATTAACCAACTATTTTTATTTTGGGGAAAACAAAAACAAACCAACCAAAAAAACACTTTTAATCAAGTCTCCTCACTCTCAACCTTTCTGTAACATTAGACTCTGTTGATCATCTTTCTTTTTGATACTTATAAGTTTAGATGACACAGCAAAGTATGGCTCCAATGCTCTTATTACTTCTCTGATCAAGTCTTAAATTTGAGCATTCCCAACAAAATCTAGCCATCCTTTTTCACCTGATTATGAAAATCTGCTAGTCCTATTACTTCAATTATAACCTCTATGCAAACAAACTTCCAAAGCTATTATGCAGCTCTTACCTTTCTCCTTAGCTCAATCCAACATTTCCCATTACCAATTTCATATCTTCACATTACCCTCAAACTCAACACAACTAATAATAAACTATTTTTTCCTCAAATCAGTTCCTTTCCTTTATTCAGCCTACTTCCCCCCCTGCAATATCACCAACTCCATTCCACATTGAGCCCTATTTTAATCTGCATTCTACAGAACTCTCGTGTACACCTGAGTAGGTGTACTTCTAGTCTAAGTGTATACTGGAAAAGCATGCTATTGACAAATTTAGAATTCAGCTTCAAGGATGACACACAGGTTTGATCTTTGTACCTCATGGTACAGAATGACCACAGGAAGGAAGTGGACTCTATGCTTGGGGTTCTGAATGAGCATATGCTCTGCCTGGACCACTGAGGGCTCACACACAATGCTCAGTAAGACCAAACACCTCAGATGGTGGGTAAAGTGATGATGTTGGGCAACTGTGTTAATGTCTTGTTTGGGCCACAAAAAGAACTGTACATTCCTAAACATCTGACTTGAAACCCAACTAATTGGATCTGGAGAAGATTAAGTTATTTAACATACGTAAAGCAGTTAGAAAAGAATCTAGAACACTGTAAAAACTCTGCAAGTATTAATTACTGCACAACTGCTATTTATCATCATCATTATTTCAATAAAGACTTGTCAAATGTTTAAAAATTGTAATTCAGACTGTCCTTTCACTAATCTGAATTAGATGACTTCCATAGTTTTATGCAATGTAAATACATTAAAAGCAACAAATGTTTAAAATTCAAGTTAAATCCACCCCCTTTTTTTAATCCTCGCTAGAGGATACTTTTTCTTTTATCTTCAGATAGAGAGGGAGGGAGGGAAAAGAAGGGAGAGAGAGAGAAAGGGAGAGAGAGAAACATCAATGTGAGAGAGACACATCGATTGGTTGCCTCCTGCATGACTCCAACCAGGGCCGGGGATCTAATTGCAGGCGAGGTATGTGCCTTTGACTGGAATCAAACCCGCAGTTCTCTGGTCCATGGGCCGACACTCTTAACCACTGAGCCAAACTGGTCAGGGCTAAATCACCTCTCTTAAAGGGATGACACATAGACAAGTTACCCGTCAACTTTTTTTTTTTTTTTTTTTTTGTACAGATAGAGTGGGAAGGAGAGAGAGAAAGGGAGAGAGAGAGAGAAACATCGACGTGAAGAGACACATCGAGTGGCTGCCACCCGCACGACCAACCAGGGCCGGGGACAAACTTGCAACCGAAGTACGTGCCCTTAGCGGGAACCGAACCCGGGTCTCTCCGGACCGCAGGCGGACGCTCTAACCGCTGAGCCAAACTGGCCAGGGCACCCGTCAACTTTTAAAGGAAAATATCTAATTTAACTAACCAATGTTATTTTTTAATCTTCAAAATTAGAACTAAGTAATATGTACTTTAACACTTTACCGTAAATGTTATCAATTAATTTTTTCCCAAGTGAATGAGGACATAAGCAAAAAAGTAAACAGTTCATACCTTAAATGAAGCCACAGCTTTATCGTAAGCTTTTATCAGTGCTGTATCATCCCAAATGTCAGAATCATCACTCTAGGAAGGGCAAAGAATAAGAATAATTCATGTTCAGAAGGGTTTCATCAAAAAGTATGTTAGATTATGCCAAAAGCCATCATAATCCAAACATAAAATTAAACTAAAACAATAATCTAAGAGGTATGCCATGAAGTGAATGCTCCACAATTTAATCCCTATCTACCAGTCATAAGTGGATCGGTTCAAGTGTAACTCTCATTTCAATCTTTTTTTTTTTTAATTCTCACAAGTGGACATTTTTCCATTTTTGTTCAGATAGAGTGGATGGGAGGGAGAGAGAAACATTGACGTGAGAGACACTTCAACTGGTTGCTTCCCACATGACCCCAAATAGGGCTAGGGACGAACCGCAACCAAGGTAGTGCCCTTGACTGGAAATGAACCCGCAACTAATCAGTCTGCGGCCGACCCTCTAACCACTGAGCAAAACTGGCCAGGGTCACAATTTAATCTTTTCTAGGAGCAAATAAAGAATGTAGCTTGGCAAACCAAGGATAAGATTAAGGGCTTAGTTTCAATGGGGAAAAAAATCTGATATTAAGTAATCTGGAAGAGACACAAAAATTATTTATATTTTTGAATTTAAATCTAATAAGTGATCAGTAGAATTTAAACTTAATTCAATTAAAAATATGTTTATTTATTTTCATTATTTTTTATTAATTTATGTATTTATTTATTTTTGTTACAGATGTTCCCCCCCCAGTGATTCTCCTTTCCCCCGCCCTTCCCACCCTGCCCCCAGCTTTGTTGTCCATGTCCACTGTTCATGCACACATGCATATAAGTTCTGTGGTTTATCTCTCCCCCCACCACCCCCTCTTCTGGGGGACTCTGAGCAGCATATGAAATAATGCTACCTGCTTTCAAGAGATTTTTTTAAAAATAATAATTATTTTTTAATCTTTATTGTTTAAAGTATTACAGATGTCCCTCCCCACTTTCCCCCCATTGAGTCCCTCCTCCCGCTCCCACACCCCCCTCCTGCTTTCCCCACATTATTGTCTGTGTCCATGGTTGATCTTTTGTTCTGATCAGGGATTTAAGACACAATGTCACACAAAACATAAAAAGAATATAGCCCTGGCCGGTTTGGCTCAGCAGTTGGAGCGTTGGCCCATGAAACAGAGAGACCCAGGTTTGTTTCCCGCTAAGGGCACGTACCTCGGTTCTGGTTTGTCCCCGGCCCCGGTTGGGGTTGTGTGGGTGGCGGCCAGCCGATGTGTCTCTCTCACATTGATGTTTCTCTCTCTCTTCCTCCCTCTTTCCCTCCTGCGCTATCTGAAGATAAATGCAAAAATGTCCTTGAGTGAGGATAAAAAAAAAGAATATAAAACAAATATAAACAAATATTGCAAGTACAAACAATACATGTTTTAATTAAATGGAAAAAAGATGGATTTTCTCCAGTTCAAGATAAAGATACAGAAGACTCTGAACTCACCTCCTCCCACCAACACACCAAATCTACAGCTATGTATGGAACAATTTCCTCTGGAAAAAAATCTAAAAATTAGTTGAGGGACTCCTACACATTAGGCAAATGAGAAAAAATCCCGACATCAAAGCAGGTAGGAGAGGCTGAGACAATCTCACCATAAACCCCAACCCTGGGGCAGCAACCCATAATCGGGAGGAAATTCAAGGCCAGAAGCTTCTTCCTGAGGAGCTAAGGGTTTGAACCCCATATTAGACACCCAATTTTTAAGACCTATACTGAGCCCTGGCTGGTTTGGCTCAGTGGTTAGAGCATCGGCCTGCGGTCTTAAGAGACCCGGGTTCGGTTCCCGCTAAGGGCATGTACCTCGGTTGCAGTTTGTCCCCGGCCAGGGTCGGTTGTGCGGGTGGCGGCCACTCGATGTGTCCCTTTCACATCGATGTTTCTCTCTCTCTCTCTCTGTCCCCCCCCCCCCACACTCTACCTGAAAAAATGTCCTCGGGTGAGGATAAAAAAAAAAAAAAAAAGACCTATACTGAGATGAGCCCTCAAAACATCTAACTTTGAAAACCAAGGGGGTTCAGGTCCCCCAGACCCGCAGGAAACAACAAACTAGGAAAAGGCTCTTAAAGGACTCACCTGCCCCAGGGGCCCAGTGAAGGAGCAGCCAATTGAGAGGTACCCAGACTTTAAGTGAAAGAGGCTCAGTTGCTTATCTTCAGGCATCCCCGACTCCAGGGCAGGCATCTAATTAAATACATACCTAGGAACCTGCTGGGATACTCAACCAGGACAGAGGCTTGCAGATGCTATCTTTATGTTCTCTGCCTTGCTCCAGCCAGTGGGCACCATCTTCACACTCTCCCTCTGCCTAGCTACAGCTCACTGTTATCTTCCAGAAGGAGCACATACACTTGTCCGGCACCCTGATTACTAAAACTTGCATCTAGGGGACACTTTCAGATCTCTTGGTTCTGGGGCCAGTGGGGGAGTTATATTTGCATTCCCACAGGTCTGTATATATTTGCATATTTTAAAAGCTGCTGCCTGAAGGTCTGGCTTCCAATCAGCCTTAATCTAGCTACTGACTTAATTTAGATTCTCACCATTGGGACACTGACAGGTCTTAGCACAAACTTAAAGGTTTGGGGCGGGGGGGGGGGGCGGTGAAGGTGGAAGAGGGTATAAGTCACAACTCAAAGCTAAGGCAAGGTTGAAAGATTAGGGTTCATCTAAATGAAGCCACTCCTTGAAGTCTGGTAGAAGTGGCTGTTTTATGTAATACATAGAAACTAACACAAAGTAAAGCAAAATAAAGAAGCAGAGAAATATGTTCCAAACAAAAGAACAAGATAAAACCTCAGAAAAAAATCTGTAATGATAAAGGTTAAATGAGGAACCTGATAAAGTGTTCAAAATAATAGTTATAAAGATGTTCACCAAACTCAGGAGAAGTACAGATGAGTGTAGTGACAACTACAATAAAGAGACAGGAAATATAAGACAGCTGTGAATAGAAGTCATAGAACTAAAGAATACAATAACTGCACTGAAAAATACACTAGAGGTGTGTAACACTGGACTAGATGAAGTAGAAAGATCAGTGAACTTGAAGGCAGGGCAGTGGAACTCACCAATCAAAGCAGCAAAAAGAAAAAGAATTTTAAAAAGGTGAAAGAAAGAAGTTTGACAGAAAGTCTAAGGGGACCAAAGAAGACATGGGAGAAAAAAAATCCAAAAGAATAAAAATAAAAAATGAAGTGGTAAATAAAGACAACTGGTAAAGAATATTTAACCTATGTATAAATGGGTCCCTGAAGAATAAAAGCTAAAACACAAACAAAAACTCTAAAAAAGAAATCCTCAGAGCCTCTAAGCAAAAAGACCAAGTCATTTACAAAATAAAGAAAATCAAGTTAGTGTTAGACTTTCTTATAGAAATTTATGGAAAAAAGTATGAGCCAAGGATTTTATATATATCCTAGCTGTCCTCCAGTACTAAGACCAAGTTTAAAAGGTGGAAGAATACTCTATTCACTTGCCTTTCCAGAGAAATCTATTGAAGACAAGCTTCATCCAAGCAAGATATGACCATAGAAAACTTGGTTAGGGGAAAAAAACAAAAAACTGTCAGCATCAAATATACTTAATTGCAGATCTAAGAGAAAAAGAACGTATATTAAGTTGACAAGCTGATTCTAAACCTCATATGGAAATACAAGGGACCTAGAACAGCCAAAGCAGTTTGGAAAAAGCAAAGCAAAGCAAAGTTGCAGGACTTATATTATCTGAGTTCAAGGTGCAATCTAAAGCTATGGTATTCAAGAATGTGGTTATAGCATCAAGGTAGAAAAATAGATCAATGAAATGAAGTCAAGAATCAGAAATAGTCCCATACACATGATCAACTTGTAACCAAGGTACAAACACAATTTAGCAGAGAAAGCACAGTAGCTTCAACAAATGGTGCTGGTCAACTGGAAATCCTTATGCAAAACAAAAACAAAACAACAACAACAATTTTGAGCTGTATTTTAAACCATATATAAAAATTAACTCATGTCTGCTGGTGTGGCTCAGCGGTTGAGCATCAACCCATGAACCAGGAGGTTGCCGGTGTGATTCCTGGTCAGGACACATGCCCAGGTTGAAGGCTAAATCCCCGTGGGGGACATGCAGGAGGCGACCAATCGATGTTCTCTCTCATCGATGTTTCTATTTCTTTCTCCCTCTCCCTTCCTTTCTCTCAAATCAATAAAGAAAAAAAAAACAATAAAAAAAATCTCAGCACTCTATTTATTCCTGAAAGTCAGCTAAAACTTCATCCAAAAGAAAAAAAATTAACTCATAATGTATCATAGAACTAAATGTAAAACCTCAAACTATAAAAGTTAAAAAATAAATCTTTGCAACCTTAGATTGCCTACAACAAAAGAACCAAAAAAGAAAAAAATTAGATTTCAGCAATATTAAGAATTTCTCTATAAAAGACACTGTTAAGAAACTGAAAAATCAAGCACAAACTGGGATAAAATATATGCAAATTATCTATCTGATAAAGGTTTTGTATCTAGCACATATGAAGAACTCTCAAATCTCAACAAAAACAAAGCAAACAAACCAATTCAAAAATGGGCAAAAGATCTGCACAGACACTTTGCTAAAGAAGATATATGGATGGCAAATAAGCACATAAAATGATGATCAGCATCATCAGTCATCAGGGAAATGTTAATTAAAACCACTATACAAATATTAGAATGTCTACAATTAGCACAAGACTGGCCATACCAAGTGTTAGCAATGATGTGAAGCAAATGGAACTTTCATGCATTGCTAGTTGAAATGTACAACCACTTTGAAAAAGTCTGACAGCTTCCTAGAGTTAAAATAATGACCCAGGTATTTACCCAAGAGAAATGAAAGCAGAGGTTCATACAAAGTCTTCTATGCTAATACTCTATTTGTAACTGCCCCATACTGAAAACAACCCAACATTCATGAACAGTAAATGAATAAACATATTTAGTATATTTATGCAATGGCATACAAGAGCAATAAAAAGGAATGAACAACTGATACAACAAAATAGATGAAACTCAAAGTAACTATGTTGAGTAAAAGAAGCCAGACAAAAAAGATTCTATGTTTATAAAATTCTAGATTCTATGTTTCTAAAGTTCTAGAAAATGCAAGCTAACCTATGGTGAAAGAAAGTGGATCAGCAGTTGTCTGGGGTCAGGAGATGAGGAGAGATGAGAAGGAAGGATTGCAAAGGGGCATAAAGAAATCCAAACCAGCCCACACACTGAGACCACATGGAGAAGCCCTGAGACTGTAGGAAAAGAAATGAATGGTCTGCCAATCCCTAGCTGCAGCTCCAGCTATTGTAGCTTCAGCTACTATGTGGATGCAACCACATGAAAGATCTCAAAGAGAAATGCCCAGCAAGGCCTTCACAAATTCCTAACCCACAGAAACTATGAGAAATAATAAAATGATTGTTGCTTCAAGCTACTAAGTTTTGAGTGATTTGTCACACAGCAACCAAAACAGACCATTTAGGGCTGCCTTTATATTTGTTTCTCAGTCATTACCAGCAGCTAAGGTTTCTCAAGTTATTCCTCATGTTCTGCCATCTTCTACCACCCCTCAACTACTGACACTTCCACCGTGCTCTCCAACAAACTCCCCACTCCATATCTTTAACCTCTTCTCTGAATATTTCCTTCATCTTCTTGCTGTAACTAAAATCTGGCTTTCTCTGAGGATGCCACTTTCCTTGCAGCCATCTCAAAATGTTTTCTCCTTTATATCCCACAAATCACTGTGCCATAGGTGGGGAAGAAATTTTCCTTGCTCCTCACTTCCACTTCCAGATTCTTCCTCCTTCCTCACTAAAACTCCTAAACTTTAAAAATCCAAAAAAAACCAACAAGCCCTGGTGGGTTTGGTTCAGCGATTAGAGCGTCGGCCCATGGACCAGAGAGGCCCAGGTTCGGTTCCTGCTAAGGGGACATACCTTGGTTGCGGTTTGTCTCCGACCCCAGTTGGGGTCATGTGGGTGGCAGCCAGTTGATGTGTCTCTCTCACATTGATGTTTCTCTCTCTCTCATCCTCCCTCCCGCTCTATCTCAGGATAAATAAAAAATATATATATATATCTTCAGGTGAGGACAAAAAAAAATCCTGTCAACGTGCCCAGCTGGTGTGACTTAGGGGATTGAGCGTCATCCCATGGACTGAGAGGTCCCAGTTCAGTTACTGAGCATTGCTATAAAGCAAACTGTAATGTTTTTGTAGGTGGAGAATCTTGCCTTTAGTTTGTAAAAAATGCAACACCTATGAAGCACAATAAAGTGAAGTGCAATAAAATGAACTGTGCCTGTACAACCCTATTATTTCAACAACTTGATTACTCTGTGTCTGACCTCACAAACTTCAAGTGATTTTAGCTGGTGAAAACACAATCATGCTGTCTAGTCTTTAAATTCATGATCACAAATCTCAAGTAGACCTTTAATGTTGCCTAGCAACATTCCCCTAGTCCAACACTTATCCACTCTAGAGACCTACTTTCTACCTTCTCTCTGCTCAAACTTCCATCATCTGCCCTGTCCTCACTCCTAGCTGATACTTCTTTTACTGACAGAACAGCAACAATCAAAAGAAAAGTTTGGCCCTGGCCGGTTTGGCTCAGCGGTTGGAGCGTCGGCCTGCGGTACAGAGACCCGGGTTCGGTTCCCGCTAGGGGCATGTACCTCGGTTGCGGTTTGTCCCCGGCCCTGGTTGGTCGTGCGGGTGGCAGCCACTCGATGTGTCCCTTCACATCGATGTTTCTATCTCTCTCTCTCTCTCTCTCTCCCTCCCGCTCTATCTGAACAAAAATGTCCTCAGGTGAGGATTAAAAAAAAAAAAAAAAAAAAAAGTTTGTCTCCTATCAGATCTGTAACCTATATAACTGTCACCACATTAACCATCAATGTTCCTAACAAAGGCCAAACCCAGCCCCTTACCTACTCTAAAACACTACTTTAGCCGTTCTCTCTCCTGCCTCATCAATTTTTCCATCCTTACCGGATCTTTCCTATTAGCCCACAAACACCCTGAAACATGTTTCTCCTATCTTAAAAAACAAAAAGAAAAATAAGAAAAGCCGTGGCTGTTTTGGGTCAGCGGTTCAAGGGTACATACATAACTGCATAACTAAGCTGCAGGTTTGATTCCCCCACCCCGCAACCATTCAATGTCTCTCTCAGCCTATATTTCTCTTTCTCTCTCTCCCTTCCACTCTATCGAAAAATCAACGGAAAAATATCCTCAGGTCAGAACTAACAACAAAAAACAAACAAGAAAACAATCCTCTTTTTTAAAATAAGTTTTTACTGATCTTGTTTTTTAGAGAGAGGAAGGGAGAGAGAAACACCTATTGCTGCCTCCTGCACGCCCTCCCCTGGGGATCATGTGCCTTGACCAGGAATGGAACTAGGACCTCTCAGTCCATTGGAGGATGCTCAATCCACTGAGCAACACTGGCTGGGCAATAATAATCCTCTTTATCTCACCTCTTCCTCCCTCTATCGGCCAATTTCTGTACTTTCTATTTTCAAGAAAACTCCCTGAATTATTGTTTACAATGTTGCTTGAATTTCTCTTCTCTTCTCCCACTCTCCAACTCACTCCAATCAGATTTCACCCAAAATGAATTTTTGATCTTTTCCTTTATAAACCTACTCTACTTTGTCTTCCCCATCTCAGCACACGCATAAAGGGCAACTAAATTCATAGTTTCAACTGCTCAGGACAATCTTTAAGTTATTCTTGACTTCCCTCTCAAATCTCCATGACCAAATCCATATGCAACACCTGTTGCCTCTGGTTTCAAAATATATCTACAATCCAAGTACCCTGTTCTCTTTTGCTGACACCCTGATCTAAGTCTGGATCATTTCATAGACTCCTAACTGGTTTCCTGCTTCACCCTGGCCTGCCTATACACATGCTCCGCAGTCAGAATGGACAAACCAAAGCACGAGGAAGATGCTGTAGGGCCTGGACTCAAAGCCATCAGAGCGCCAAGCGGCGCAGGGAAGGAGCTTGCTGGTGAGCTCCCCAAATGGAAAAAGATGTAGAAACAGGCGGACCACAGTCTGGCCAGGTCCAGCCCCGGGCTGGGGAAGGAGCGCAGGGGCCGGCTAATGGGCGCTAGGAGCCCGCACTGGGCGCCCGTCGGGAGGCAGAGCCGCCGCAAGCTCACCTGGCCTGTGCCGCGCCGGAACAGCACCGACTCCTCCAGCTCCGGGACACCGCCACTGCCGCCTCCCCCCATCGCCATGGCGAGGCTACTACAGCGTGCGCGGCGCGGCTGCGTGCCTCCGAGAATGACGCTGTCCGCCGCCGGGGCCTCTGGGAGCGGAGCCGTACGGTGGCCTGGAGGGCACCGGGGAGCCCCGAGGGTTCCGCGCGCTAGGCCAGCCGTCCCCACCTCACTTGCTTTTCTGTATTTCCCCAATTCTTTGATTTCACTTTTTAGTCTAGTGTATTCGTAGACTGGTCCGACCAGGGTATTTTTGTTTTGAACAATGTATTTTTTAAAATGCTGTTCGTTGCTGTGGCTAGAGTGGCTCAGTCGTTGGAGCAACATCGGGTACACCGAAAGGTTGCGGTTTGATTTCCTGTCAGGGCACAAACTAGGTGGGGGTTTGATTCCCCCCTACGTGCGTGGGGAGGCAATCTAGTGATCTCTCTCTTTCTCCTTCTCTAAAAATCAAGAAACATATCCTCAGGTGACGATTAAAAAAAAGTAGTGTTCATGGCAGGTGATTATAAAAAAAGGATAAACCAATACAATAAAAACAAGTCCAGAGGTAACCAATAATGATATATTTTTTAAAGTGCTTTAGAGTTTTAGCTCTGGCCAGGTAGCCCAGTTGGTTAGAGCATCCTCCTGATATGCCAAGGTTGGGTTCCATCCTGAATCAGGACACATACAAAAATCAACCAATGAATGCATAAGATAAGTGGAACAATAAATCAGTCACTCTCTCTCTCTCTCTCTCTCCCCCTCTTCCTTCCCCTCTCTCTAAAAACTCAATAAAAATATTTTTTTAAATGTGTAAAAATATAAATAGAAATTTTCAAAAATAGTTTTACATATTTACTTTTATTTTCACAACCCTAGAATTAGGGGCTCTTATCCCCACTTTAAAGATGAGGAAACTGAGGCACAGAACGTTTACACAGATGCCTGGAATCTGTGCCTTTAGACACCTCCCAAACTTAACATTTAGGTTAGTGTCTATTCTCCCAAATATTTTCTAGTATGTTTGAACTTAAAAAAAAGAGATCAACCCCAGAAGGGAGTGCATATGAGGCAGAGATTGATGTTTTTCTCCTTTCCCTTCCTCTCTAAAATCAATAAAAACATATTTTTAAAAAATGGGATCAAATGTTGTATACTACTGAAGGACATGCATTCTCCCCCTCCACCCCAATGTGTTTTTATGTTTGTCTCAACATGGATCAGGCAGGTTTTTAAGTCTGTGAAGGAGCTTACTACCATTACTTTGCCAGTATTCTTTATTAGATGTTTAGGATAGTCAAATGACTTCCAAGTACATATTACAATTTACTAAAAGAAAGTCCACCCATGTAACTTTGAGGCCTCCCCTTTAGCTTCTATAGATAGATATCAGAAATATATATTTTTTAAAAGCTCAATTAGATTTTTCACCATTTTAAAGCATACAATTTAATGGTTTTTAGTATAGTCCCAAAGTTGTGTGGCCACTACCAATATCTTAATTCCAGAACATTTTCATCACCCCTAAAAAGAAACCTTGTATCCATTAGCAGTCACTTATCATTTTCTCCTCCCTCCTAACCACTGATCTACTTTGTGCCTCTGTGTATTTACTTATTCTGGATATTTCATGTAACTGGAATCATATAATATGTGGCCTTTTGTATCTGACTTCTTTCACTTAGTATAATGTTTTCAAGGAGGAACTCGTTTTAAAGAATTTAAAATGGTAGGTTCTCTGTTGAAAAAGTATTTCTACTTATCAAGACTTGGTTCAAAAAAAAATGAACCTATGGCATTTTTGTCCTCAAAGAAATTACAATTTTTCCTGATGGTGAAATCCGGATTTGAATTACTATATTCTACAAAGTTATTTCATATAATAGACAAATCACTCAAAGCATAATGTAGCGAATTTTCAAAGGAAACAATTTTATCGGATTTGAAGGCATTTATATAAACATTAAATTTAACTTCATGAACTGAAACCAACCTTTGTGCATATGGAATTTTTATACCAAAAATCTACCTTTAGTAACTCTTGAAACTTGCCCATAATCAAATAAAAAAGTCAAATAATTAGTGATCATATTTTCAACTTGAATAATATATACTGGAATTTGAATTGTGAAATAGTGAATAAACAAAAGACAAGGCCAAAACCAATTAGTTCCTTAACCTTACCTTACTTCAGGATCTAGGTTCAGGAGATCAGAGATGTGTCAGTGATTTGTACATAAGAATGCACACAGCCCTGGCTGGTTTGGCTCAGCGGTTAGAGCATTGGCCCATGGACCAATGAGTTGTGGGTTCAATTCCAGTCAAGGGCACATACCTCAGCTGCAGTTTGTCCCCAGCCCTGGTCGGCGTCATGGGGTCATGCGGGAAGCAACCAGTCGATGTGTCCCTCTCCTGTCAATGTTTCTCTTTCTCTCCCTCCCTCCCACTTTATCTGAAGATAAATAGAAAAATATCCTCGGGTGAGGATTAACAAAAAAAAAGAACGCACACAAAACCGTTAGAGCAGCAGAAAGTTGAAAATTCCAAATGATGTTTTGGAAGACTATTTGAATGATGAGTGGGCACAGCGAGAAGTCGGCAGTATGCAACCCAGAAAGGGGCCCTTCACCAGAACCCAAGTATGCTGGCATGTTGATCTTGGGCTTCCCAGCCTCCAGAACTGTGAAAAATAAATGTTTGTAAAACAATGTTTTTTAAACATGTTGCACTGGATAAGTCTGCTAGCTGTCAGTCTGCATCTTCACTTATAAAGAAACTAGACATTTAATAATGTAATTAAAAATACTGGCAAAAGTGCCCGGCTGGTGTGGCTCAGTGTTTGAGCGTCGTCCCATGCACCAAGAGGTCACTGGTTCGATTCCCGATCAGGGCGCATGCCTAGGTTGTGGGCTTCATCCCGTGGGGAGCATGCAGGAGGTGTGGCCAGTCGATGTTTTCTCTCATCAATGTTTCTATCTCTCTCTCCCTCTCCCTTCCTCTCTCTTTAAAAATCAATAAACAAAAAAGTAATTTTAAAAGAAAGAAAAGAAAAATATCCTTGGGTGAGGAAAAAAAAAAAATAATAAAATAAAATAAAAACCAATAACCAGGGGGAGGGAGAAAAAAACCCCAAAACTAAGAACCATTTTTCACTCAGGTTGGCAAAATTATTAGAGATTAAAAATATCTGATGTTATGAAGTCCATAGGGCTATGAAGTGCTACCCTCTGGTTGGAAAATATGTTTAAAATTATAAATATATACACCATTCCCCTAGAAATCCTACCTTTAAGAATTTGTTAGACCCTGGCCAGGTAGCTCAGTTGGTTAGAGCGTCTTCCCCATACATCAAGGTTTTGGGTTTGATCCCTGGTCAGGGCATACACAAGAATCAACCAATAAATACATAAATAAGTGAAACAACAAATTAATGTTTCTCTCTCTCTAAAATCAATAAATAAAAAAATTTAAAAATTTGTTCTTATAGAAATAAAAGCACCTGTACATGGGGATAAATATGATGATATATATATTACTGAATTGTTTTTAGTGGCAAAGCTTACAAACATCCTAATTGTCCATGGGTACGGAAGTAACTGGATAAATTACTGACATCCATATGATGGTCAGACCTATATGTACTGACCTGTTGGCATGGTTATTAAAAAAAAGTATAATGTTAAAGCTAAGTTTCCCATGTTTGTTTTTAAAAACTCCCTGTATGAAAAGCAAGAACCTACGACCAAGATTACTCTATCCTGCAAAGCTGTCATTTAGAATTGAGGGCCATATAAAGAGTTTCCCAGACAAGGAAAAGCTAAAGGAGTTCATCACCACCAAATCAGTATTATATGAAATACTGAAGGGTCTTCTTGAAGAAAAAGATTAAAAATATGAACAAACAAAATGGCAATGAATACATATCTATCGACAGTGGAATCTACAAACAAAATGAACAGGCAGAACAGAAACATTCTCATAGATACAGAGAACATTTTGTTGGTTGCCAGATGGGAGGGGGGTTGGGGGAATGGGTGAAAAAGATGAAGGGATTAAGAAGTACAAATTGGTTGCTAGACTGACAAACCTTAAAGGGAAGGGGGTTTGGAGGATGGGAAGAAATAAACCAAAAAACTTATATGCATATATGCATAACCAATGGACACAGACAACAGTGTGGGGAAAGGCAGGAGTGGGGGCAGGAGTGGGGAGGAGGAGGTCAATGGGGGAAAAATGAGGAACATCTATAATACATTCAACAATGAAGTTTAAAAAAAACCCAAAACTCCCTGTAGTGGGTTGAATGGTGGCCCCCCAATGATATGTCCACCAGATACCTGTGAATGTGACCTCATTTAGGAAAAGATTTTTGCTGGTGTAATTGATCATAAAATGAGATCATCCTGGATTAGAGTGGGCCCTAAATCTAATGATGAAATCCTTTAGAAGAGACAGGAAGAAGATACAAGTCCATGTGAAGACAAAGGCACTGATCGGAGCTCTGCTACCACACAAGTAATGCCTGGAGCCACTAGTAGCTGGAAGAGGGAGGCAAGTATTTCCCCCTAGAATATCAGAGGGCGTATGGTCCTGCTGACATCTTGCTTTTAGACTTCTGGCCTCTAGAACTGTGAGAGAATAAATTTCTGTTGTTGTAAGCCCCCAAGTTTGTGATAATTTGTTACAGCAGCCCTAGATAACCCCTGACACCCCTTATATATATATGTTTAAACATGTTTACATGAGCATTGAGAGAAATATACAACTATTTCATATACCCTAAGCCTCAGCAATTTCACTCCTAGGTATCTATTCAATAGAAATAAGTGCCTATGACCACCAATATATATACAAATGTATAGAGTATCCCCCCATAATGTATACACTTTGAATAATTATAAAGTCAGTGTTTATTATTTTCAAAATGTAATAGAATCTATGGACACCCTATATATAGATATAGATATCTATAAATATATCTGTATCTGCCCTGGCCAGTTTGGCTCAGCAGTTAGAGCGTTGGCCTGCAGACCAAAGAGTCACGGGTTCAATTCCGGTCAAG